GAGATGATGGCAGAATAAGAATGGTAAAAATCAAAACCGCTACATCGGAATACACAAGGCCAGCAAGCAAAATATGTGTACTAGAACAATGCTCAAAATGAATCTATAATTAATGTGTTTTCTCAATATATCTTTATTAGGACACTGAAGTGAAATATAGTGAACTTTAATGTGTTTAATCTCGTTACTCTTGTGTTAATATGTTCTTTGATATGTTTCAGATTGTATTTGACTCTGTCAGGGGGGTGGCGATGTTGAAGCTTGAGTGATATTTTTCGAAACCACAGTTTAATTAAAGCAAGTACAACTAGCAAGAGTTACTTGCCGGTGAGGGAGAGTGACTTCCCTTTGACCTTGAGCACATGGAAGAGAACGGAGCGAAAAATATTTACACAGATCCACTCAAAACACCGAGAAAAACTTTTATATTTAAAACTCAGTTGTTAATAATTTGTGAGACTAACTACTAAAGTGCACAAGTATCAAGAGTAGACTATCCACAGTTCGCGAATATCCTCAAGCTACAACTGAAACCAGTCTTTCCCGGTAGAAATAGTAAACTTCAAATCAGTATACATTTGTCCTCTTTTATAATTCATTCATAAACATTTGCCTGTTGTCCACTATCTCAACATATTCTCCCCTCCCCCATCTTCATACACATAATATAAGTATTGTCCACAATTCTCAACCAATCTTCGAGTTCTGTCCCTTGAGACGGAAACACAAAGCATCAACCAATCAAATAGCTTACTTCTGCTTAGCCTAAGCAGAAAATGCACATCTTCGAACTCCATCATGGCATTATTTCAACTAATAAACACCTGCACCAAGTTTGAACTCTAGCTCAGTTAAATTGTTGCGTCCCAAAAAGTGTGGGGGACAGACAGACGGACGGACGGACCCATTTAAATAGTCCCAAGGTTTCTTCGAAAGGCATTGGACAACTATACTCAATAATCAGTTGCATATACTTTTGTCATATTTACAAACAGTTTGCTAAATGTTTTGATCGTTTTTATTTTTGTTACTTGCGTACTGATTTTCTGCGCGGAGATTACTTTTTCATCCTTCAGGGCGTGACAAGCTGTGATTAACCAGTGATATTTATTCCTTTTTGTCCAGCAAACAATTGACGGCACGCGCTGGTACCCGCCCAGTTTTTTCAAAGGAAGCTTGATTCTCTATTTACTCGAAACTAGAGATGAAAGCGGAATTGAATTAATAACGTGATAGTTTTCGACCTAAATACTTGTGCAAAAGCAGCAGTAAAGTACATTAACAATTTGACAAGTCTAAGTATTGGACTGGACCACAAATTGAAAGGGAAATTCCCATCGTTAGTTGGCTAACAATTAGTTTATATTTATCTTCGGGGAATACCTGTAACGTCAATTTTTTTCAGCACTGGCGTATCAAGTTTGACACTTATTTTCCTCACGTTTGTCATTTAATAGCATGTTAGAGTAAGGCGACTGCTAGAAAGGTTAAATTGGTTTCTTTAATATAGGGGGGCCTAATGGTTTAACGGGCTCACACTTTCTGCACTATATCTGTAGGTATGTTCTATCCGCCATGTCATTCAGCAGCTGTGTGTACTTACAGGTCATAAACACCCTCGGCAAAAAACAACCCAAAACGCACAAAAAAAACAAAAAAACAAGGCCAACAAACAAATAAATCTCTCACAGATTGAAATGCCATGCTGTCAATTCTTAAATTCAAACAAGGTACGTAATGCAATTAGTGCAGTGTCGGATTTACAGGCTTGACAGAATAAGCTCGGGGGTGGGGGTGGGGGAGCCTCCGACCAATGTGTAAAATATTTTTGACACGGTCATATGCAATTCTTACACGCACTGTGCCCATGCAATGTTTAAAAGAGAGAGAGAAATGGGGATTAACGTCCACTCGACACAAACTAGGTCATTTCGGGACTAACATGTGGTTTAATTTTTTATTTCAATAATTCGCTTGCGCGTAGGGGTCTTTAGCCGTGGGAGGACCCGGAGAAAACCCACGAGGTTGGACAGGCGACCCTATACTCCTTGTCACGTACAACCGAGGATTCGAAACCACACCAGCTGACTCAATGCCAAGCCTTATGTTATAGCGCGCACGTGCTAACCATTCGGCCATCCACCCCCCCCCCCCCCAATGTTTAAAACACGCACTTTCATCTTAGTCATGAAGGTGTGGGGGTGGGGGGAGCTCACAATATGGAATGGCTTAAGGCCTCTGTTCATCTAAATCCGACCCTGAATTAGGAACATGACCCTGTGCTGTGATATGTCACCACATGTGTTAACTATTTATTTCAGGCTCCACCACAGTTCAAGGAAAGATATATAATATAATAACACCAGAGTCCCCCTGCACTTAGAAGCATTTTGAAACTATTTCCGCATTACTTGATATCAGGAACAAGTCGACGTTGGTATTAGAAATGACAAACATACAAATTTTACGTTTCGACATGATAATGATATTGCGCCCGCCTACAACCTACAAAATACATGCATTTAAAAAACACAGCTGGGGCATCTGACAAAACCACAATGAAATAACCGAAATGAAATGAAACAAAATGAAATTGCAAATGATATGAAATAAAATAAAATAAAATGAAATTCTAAATGAAAGGGCAAATAACCTAATCTACATTTAGACTCTTTTGGTTTTACGTATAGTGCTGTCCTCTGCACTTACTATTAGAGTAGGGTTTTAGCCCTTCGTACTGCAGAATGTTCTCGTTGTTGGGCTTTGCCACCGTTTGCTCAATACACTTATTATTTTAGCGTTTTCCAAAATTCTATCCGGATTATCGCCAAGGGCGGATTGGGGCCAGGAATCGGCCTGGGCCCCCGTGTCGGAGCGGCCCCTTTTACTGACCGCGGAGCCCGGACGGGGGGTCCGGGGGCTCTCCCTCTGGAAAATTTTGAAAAATAACCCCCAAATATGCGATTTGGTGGCATATCTGATTATAATCTCTGTCAAATATTATATGTCATAAATCGATTAATTTAGGCAAAAACCCCGACCTTCAAGTAATTTACAACCATCAACCTGTGAAATTATCATATCGTCATATTATGCAGGATTCCGAATTCCGGCCAACACCCAGCACACCCGGCCCAGAAAGTCTATACCAGCCCATTCCAGACTCTAGTGATGGCGTGGCGGCCCGTTCAAGCCACCGGCCACATACAACATGATCATCATCGCCCCATGGCCGGTCCAATACCCCCCCCACCCAATATAATTTTCAGCAGAAAAATGTTTTTTAGACGAATTGGACAAAATTATTTTTTTTTCCGACCGGCCCTTCGGGCGATCGCCCGATGGCCCAATCCGCCCCTGATTATCGCCCTTGTAGTTAAAATTGTTTAACGTTCGTGCTCATGACGTGAACTGGCAAACTATCGCCTTTTTTTTAATTTTGAACGAAGCTTGTACCATTACAGGTCCGGAACTGTACAGTACAGTGGACGCTTACGGCTGGTCCCCGGATCCATTCACTTGATTTGATATTTGTTTATTTTTTTTTGCAATGTCTATATTCTGTCTTGTCCGCAGGTTTATCTTGTAGGGGTTTTTTTTTTTGCGTGTCGTGCGGTCCTCCTGCACTTACTAATAGAAAAATCGCAAGGCACTCGCAATGACTATTAAATTGTCATAAATAATAAGAACATAAATATAATGTAGAAGGAGAACGAGTGTATAATTTTGATCTTGCGTATAATCTTTCGTGTTCTTATGGTTGTTGTCAACCATTCTATATATCATCAAAACCATTGTTAGTCACCAATATCCCTTTCTTATATCTGGCACGTGAGACATATCACATACATCGATATGTGGTGCACATAACATATAGATCAATATTAATCATACATGCATTTACTGTTTTAACATTAATTATTTTCTTCTAGTCACCTTGGTTACCATTTACAGAGTCTATTCATTGGTATTCGTTATTATACATGACCCAACAGCTCTCTTTAGCAACACTTATATATAATTTTATTGAAGCTAAATACCAAAACTGATTGTAATCTATTAATTTAGACCCACACACACTTTACCAGGTGGGTTTTTTTCTCTTTGAGAGTCGAAGAAAGTGTTTGGAATTATCCAGTCCAATCCAATTATGCCACGAACACTATCTGTGGCTATGGCAAGTTATACAATCGTGGTCGATAATTATCGGGCTAATATACGAATGACACATGCCCTGTGTTCAGATGGTATATAGAAAAAACTAAATGTATTGTGTTAGTCCCAAATGCTTAACATATGTTTTGCGATTTGTTGAATAATTCATTTTAAAAAAAGAACCAACCCCTGAAGTCAATTGTTTTTTATAGATATATAACCATGCACAATTTTTTGTTTTTTGATATATAAATTGTATTACAAATTTACAACTGATTAGCATAAAGGCTTAAAAATTTTAATCTTTTAAAACCCTTAAATACAATTTCCAACATTCGTACCGCCTTGTAATTAGGGGATGTCGCTTCAAGGTATAAGCCGTGTCAGTTAAAGATATTTTATCCACAAGGATGTTGGCATCCACGTGAAAGAACCCTTGCTGTTGGAACACGAAATAGGGTATAGGCCACAGTAGACTGCATGCGTATGCCTGTATTCATTCGCCCGAATAGAGCACAAAAGCAGAACGGTAAACCCCATTTCATTTCATTATTCGCCTGGTTGATAGCATTTGGTTCAAAATCTGAGTTCCAGGAATCTTAATTGTTTGGTTTTTCGATGCATTCTCTAAAAAATGCTCCCCATTTTAAGGAGTGTAACTTGAGATTATAGATTAAGACGGTAATCAATTTGTAATCGATATATAGCCGGTAACAAGATCAATAAGTAATCTCATTATGAACGTTATACAGACACGGATTAACCACAGGTAACTTGATAGTACACATTTTGACGAGTTACCGTTGTCAAGAAAAACATAGCCAATACTCAAGGTGGATCTTTATCGTCGCTACAGTTATTTCTATGTGTGTTTTAATGAAATAGATTTACTGTCTAGGTTATGTAAGCTTATAAATTGGCCGGTTTACACTTGTGAAGTCGACTTTCATTAGAATATTTGATTGTTTAGAGTACTTCTTATTAACATTAGTGAGTATTATGATTATTTTCTACTAACAGACTGATGTCTATTTTCTACCAATAGACTGATATCTTAAATTACCTATAACATAGCAAGACGTTGAGAGATTATTGAATAAACTCACAAAAAATATTTAATGTAAGTCATTGGGTACATTGGTAGTATTTAGGTGACATATTGTGGGATTTAAGTAATTTTGTAATGTTACAGTTTCTTTAGAACTAGAGTTAGATTATTGTAGTAATTTTATAAATAAAAAAGGTATACTTTTAAATTTATATTTAGGCTTTACGCGATCTGATGATCTTGCGTAAGTTTTTAATGGAACTTGGTGATATAGCGTTGGGTAAAATTGGATAACATTGTCATGGCATGGATGTTTTATTCCTAAATTTCAACCATTCATGACGGCAGCCTGTTAAACTATGGAATCATTATAAAGGGAAAAGGCAGACCTATCCCCCGGCGATTGAGCCAAAATTGGGCTAAAGAACAGATTGAATTATTTAATAAGGTTCGAAAATTATTCATTGTAGTGTGCGTCCTTGAATTGTCAATGTACGGTGTGTGTATGCTAACTGAAATTCTGCGTCTAAATTAATCTACGTATTACATATTCGGATCTGTTTTTAGAAAACGAATATTTCGCCTTCTCTGATATCAAAGATTTCGATTCTATACACAGAATCTCTGGTTGACGTACGTTATACACTAAGCTGTTGACAATATAACGAATGAAATATTATACTCGAAAACAGTCATAAGATACTTGTATTTACTCAGTGAATACCAACTTATGTTAAGTATTTTACACTCCGTATTACTTTTCGACGGTCAGACCTATATAATATATTTGATATCTTATCGAATACACAGCTTACATACATTTTCCATCTGTTTAAAGAGATATTATTTCTTGTAATTAATTTTACATAATATATTCAAAATATCCCCAGATTATCGAACCGTAGGTTATAATGTATAATGAATTATAAAACATCTTTATCTCAACTATGGATTGGCAGATTAGTCTCAAATTTTGCATACAATTTAAAGTGCCCCCCCCCCCCCACACTTAACTGATAAAATCGAAAACTATATATATTTTTGCAGAGTCTCGAATAACTCCAAAGCAATATCCCTGTGGTATTGTTAACAAACTACATTTGAAACTATTTCATCTAGATAAAAGGAAAAATAAATAACATTCCTCGGGACTGAAATGATAAAAATCTTACCCCACCTGTTTTAGAGGGAACACTTAATACACTTTATATTTATATATTTCTTGGCTTAGAATGCGGTGAGAACGTGTGATCAAATCTTACTTTGTTGAAGACCTGCATAGGCATACCAAAATATAAGCGTACCGGTAATATAATAGGTCTTTTACTCTTTAGTGATAGTGGTCAATAAGTTTATACCTGCTATGTATGACCACAACAAGCATTATCGAAAACCCATTGTCCTTATAGCTGCCAAATCGATGCATTAGCAAAAGAAAACTGGTTTCGAGACTGTCTAACGATATATACTATAAGTTAATTAAACATCTTGTTACTATACAATCTCAACTTGACTATTCTTTAGCTTTTATATGGAACTCTATCAAAACCCAATCACACAATAAATATAAGAACGGGTATAGTGTTGGCTTCTCTATTGTAAGTTACAGTTGACTTGATAAACATATAGAACTACCTATAATAGATATATGTTATAACCAACAGGCACACAATAAACAAGGCGGTCTTAATGTGTCAAGACATAACTGATAATAATAGAACCGATGACTTAAAATCCTAAAATGGAAGAATAACGGGGAAAATTATCCAAAGGCACCCACCCCACGCCAAAAGAATCGCACTGTTTAGGCATATGGATTGGCGTCATCTGCTGACGGTCAATTATGAAATGATATGAAATAGGGTTTAGTGTCGTCCTTTTCTACGCGTCAAACAAGAACACTAAAGGGTTATATGATGTAAATTTAATGGATGGGCTGTGTAAGCCCTCGTCAACTTTAAATCTATTTAAAATCGTGTCCTTATTTTTTTGCGCCTTTATGGCATTGATTTTCTACATATACCTATAAGACCCAATACTTCGTGTACTTCGAGGTACCAATAATGAATCTTGACTATTATTTTTATAACCAATCGGTTAATTGCTTGTTAACGTTTATTTTTCAGAAAATATGCCAGAGAAAAGAACAATAGCCGTGTTTGGCACCGACATCATTCAAGGCGAGGCTGTCGCCAGATTTCTTGCACGTGACAAGGATATACAGGTGCGCGCCATCACTTCTGATGTGACATCACAAATGTCTCTGAGTATGAAAAACGAAGGTGTTGAACTATGTGAATGTAGCTTCAAAGATGTTGATGATATATGTGCTGCCATAGCTGACGTGGAAGAATGTTTCGTTTTAACAAACACCGACATTTCTGATCCATTTTGTGTTGAAAACGAAATAAAACTTGGACGCCGCATCGCTGACGCATGCGCTATTTCAAATATTGGACATATAGTTTTTAGTACACAGGTTCATACCCAGAAAGTTAAAGGTGTCCAAGTTCGACAGTGGGTGACTAAAGCAGAGATTGAAGACTATATGAAAGTGAAAAACTTACCATTGACTTGCATTATGGTCCCGTTTGTTTATCAAGATTTTTTCGGTGTTCTAAAACCAGAAAAAGTCCAAAACAACACTTATCAATTAGGTAAAATCATTTGATCTTCTGACGTCCATAGGGCCAAAACAAGCGTATACTGCGATGAATATCCAAATTAAACCGTTTTCTATAGGCCTAAAGCAATATTTCATATGAGTACATGGGATAGGGTTACGAACAATGAGCCTTATATCAAAAATACATTATCAGTTATTTTCCCGGGCTTTTATGGAGTATTTAGGAAAAGTTTGTAAACTAGCTTATTTCGGGTACAGTAATTGGTAAACCATTGATTTTTTTTCAACAGCAGTTTTATAGTTGTTGCCCCTGACTGATACGACTGTTGATATACGCTTATTTTCATATTCACTACTCACTCTATATACAGTGAGTTAAGTTTTTGCTCGAATGTCATCAAATGTTCAAGAATAGCTACTATTGGCTTATAAAGATGGTGGCAGTTCGATCTCGAAACCTTGTGAACCTAATGGTAAGGCGGACGGGGCAGTTCGGGAAGGCATTTGCCCCACTTTTCTAAAAAAAAAATGCACTTGACGACGAATGCTGCTGAAGGGTATTATACATTGCCTTGAAAACAGTATTTATAACATTCTGAAAGTAATCAAATTATAGCGCTGCATATATCCACATTTATCCAGGAAACCAGATGTGGTGTTGTTCAAAATCCCATTAATTATTATAAATTCAATTTCAGAGATACCGATGGGATTAACTCCAATAGATCTAATTAGTGTAGATGATATTGGTGGTATAGTTAAATCTATATTGGATAATAAATCACAGTATATCAACAAAACAATCAGTATCTCAGGCGATAAACTAACCATAGCAGAAGTAGCCGCCATATTGAATATAAACATGAAACCTAAAATGTTTCGAGAAAAGCAGGTAGATTTTTTTTATTACGTTGTGGATCAAGTAAGCCTTTTATAAGTTTAGACCCATTATAAAACTGTTCCATGTTCGGCCCAACTTCTATAGGCTACTCAGCGAAATTAAAGATACAATGCGGACAAAGGACAATAAATATTTTCATTATATAATTTAAAAGAAAAAAAATATGACTTTTCTCTAGATTGTAATTTTGGCGAATAGAACAAACTACTTAGATTTGATACCATCTTGGCCGCGATGTTCGTGGATAGAACGGAGATATCTTTAGACAAAATATAACAAGAAAAAATGGCGGCATGAAATCAGCCGGAAGTAATGCAAACTTTCGATCGTTATAGGATTGGTGGAGTTGATGGCACATAACTGTCTCTAATGGAATAGAATATTAACATACCACTCTGTTTAACATTTAAAAATAAGAGTCTAAATATATTTTTGAAAGAGCTGCAAGCTGCTGGCGGGGAAAATTTTCCCTCATCGATATTGATGGCGTGTGCCCATTTCAGTAACCATGCAAGATGGTAGAGAAAAAAGTAGGACGTTTTGCCCAATTTCCTTTCTGTAAGAGGATACACCATTTAATGCGATCTTATATATGTTTTCAGATCTCCATAAATGATTATCGACAGAAAGAATTTCCAGGCAGCAGAGATTGGGCAAATATATTTAATTTTCTACTGCGAGTAGATACTCAATATAATGTCTCAAAAACCAAGACTCTCTATCCCGATGTCAAGTCTTTTCAAGAGTGGGTTAAGGAGAATGGTGCGTGGATTCTCTCTCAACTTTCATAAACAGAGTTGTGTAGACAATTATAAATTGTTTATATTAAGAATAGGGTGGGATGAAAGTTGTTATTATTTTAATGCTACGTTAATAACCTTAATGTGTTACAAGGTTTGCTATTTACATATAGTGCTTCTGGATTTCTTTACATTATTTAATTGCCTGGTGGAATTACCACAGACACACTTTCGTAAGCCACACATGCACAAGAGCTCTCAATTCTTACAACACACGAATCATCTCATTAATCAACAGAAAAATTAAACAACGCCACCAGATATGCATACGCCATATCGCCTACACAAGAGGTAGTAGATATTTGAAAAGTTGGTCAAATGAGTGTTAGAAATTCATAACAAAGAAATAATGGATTTTAGATGCTCCGCAATTGAAAGACAAAAAGTACGTTTGCTCCCCTTGTCGTATTGATTTAGAAGACGAAAACTTAGTTGAATCACTATCTGGCAAAATCTTGAAGTAAACTCACAAGCACTTTAATTCTAAAATTAAAGTAATATTCGGTCATTGATACCTTCTTAAAATCAGCCTTTTTGCGCCAAGATTTGTTGATTGATAGACAGCCGCCGTCTTTCTTAGAAACAAAATGAATCTATTTCTTTATAGCCCAATAACCAGAAAAATCATTTCATATATATATCACGGCATGACCTCGGGTCTATCACTTCCTACATCCACCCATTATTGTACGTTAACAAGCCAGAAACCAGACATAACAGTTTTTTCTAAGTAATGTTTGAAATACAAGAATGTTTAGTTTTAACATCAGCGATCCAAATTACACAATTATGTTACATAATTGCCACAGAGTAGCCTATTACAAATAAACGATGAGATGTGGTTCTAACTATTTATACTCGATTTACAAAAACAGATATCGTAAACCGTGCTTCATAGGTATATAGCACACGTTGACATTACTGTTATTGCTACAGAAACATTAGTTTGTTATATCTAATCGCTACACCCGGCTAATGTATATATAATGTAGATATAAATATTTCTGTCATTATTTATAAGTGTGAGTGTTACACTGTAAAGTATACTCTTGTTGTTTTATATTAAACTGTTCAGAATATAATTTGGCGATTATAATACAGTTAATGGTGTTTTTATCATTTATGAATATGCAAAATACAAATAGGTCAATTTTGTCAAGATAAAGAAGTTCTTGTGGTCACCTGCATAGCCATAACTGTGGTTATGAGCATCGGCTCATTATTAACATTTTATTGTGTTATAAAGTGGGGTTTCTGATTAGCCCCCACCCCCTCCCAAGACCCAGATGTGTATATACGTCACTTTGATGTCGGCTATGCAACAAATCAGAGTTTCTGTGGCAAACAGCCCTAAAGTTACTTCCACAGTATATGTTGTTACTTCTTGAATCTGCCACGTGGTGATTTTTAGCCCATCTTCTCTGCTGCATTCCGAAACACTTTTAACCGTTTTATTTGAATGATACACAGACAGGTTTAATAGCAACGCAAGTGAATGTGTCGATTATTTTGATTCAGTGCAAATTATTGGCAAGTGATCTATATTTACCAATTAAAACAATTTCTATAGTTGAATCAGTAGTTGCCATCTTGGACACGTGTTTTATCATTTTGCTATGTTTACTGTGTACATAAGATATCCACATAATAATATTGCTAAAAACTATGAGAATGCCCTCTAAAAAGCATACACTAAATACATGAAAGTATTACATAAACTTTGATTTGAAAGATCCAGCTGTAAATTCCGGAGGTAATTATTTATGGCAAAAAAACCCCAACAAAATCGGATAAAAATTGTGATCTCTATAGGCTCCACAACTTTGATATACCATATTTTTACGCTATTTGAGAACGAAGGGCGGCCATTTTGTCTGTCAGTTTTGGGCCGATTTTCACGAAATTCGAACTCAGTCGTCCTTAGGGTGTAACGGTGATATAATAATACGTTTTTCTTAAATCGGATCAAAATTATGACCTCTATAGAGTCCACAAGCTAAAAACGCGATTTTTCGTACAATCAGGGGCCATAATTCAGGAAGTTACGGTCCGATATGTGCAAATATCGAAAGGAACCGAGATCTTTAGGTTATAAACCTACATTTCAAGTTTCAACAAAATCGGATAGAACAATTTATAATTATCAAACTTTGTTTACATGGTATCCTATTGTAATAAAAGACGTTGGTTATAATGACAAACATTTGTAGTGGTTTTAAAAATATGTGGGTTTTTCTCCGAGTGCTCCTCTTTCCTTCCCACCGCTAAAGACCCTGCACACAGGCAAATTATTGAAAATAAACATGCGGAATGAAATGGGGTTTAACGTCTTACAATTCTGCTCCACCCGGGCAAATAAAGACGGGGATATTGTAATAGAACTATAATTGGGTTTATTGTCCTACATTTCTGCTAAAGAAGACGGGCGTGTTGTAATGGAACTACATGTATATGATGATAAATAAGTCCCGAAAGGAATCGGTTCTTGTATCTTGTTGATCGTTTTTCTTTATCTAGAAATAACATTCTTAATGTTCTGAGGGGTTTTAATCTCTGAAACTTAGAAACCGTTACATACTTCTTCTTCAAATACAAATTGTAATAACAAATAACAACCCGCATTTAATTTTAAACTACAAGTTACGGGTGAATTATTACATCACTAAATGCTGTAAATAAGAAAATGATTTCAACCCGTATTTCTTTTTTTTTTTTTTTTTTAAAAATAAAATTAAATAAAAGAAATAAGAAATAAAATTTCAGCTGCTTGAGGTTTCTGGAGGTTATATCGACGAGAATTAATAGCGAACTGAACAAACCGTGGTCGTGGTCGGAGAACAAAATGTAATGAAATGGGGTTTAACGCCCTATACTGGTTCCTTGTTGGACCAACAGTGGATCTAACACGGGACCTTAAAGTAAAAAGTCTTACTCATTGAGGCACCGCGGCCCCCAGTCGGAGAATGAACAAACTAACCCCAGAAGACCCAAAGAAAATGGATGTATACTTTTCTGCACCATCCGGTTTAATGAAGGTGAGAATACTCCGTGCAGTGTGCTATGGAGCTGGGGGGGATTTTGCCAGAACACGGGACCTCAAAGTCAAAGTTGGGGAGCCAAAACTCACTAAGGCACGACGCCTTCCAGTCGGAGAATGCACAATCCAAACCTATAAGAAGATCCGAAGAAAACGGGTGGGAAAACTCCATGCATTGTGCTATGGGGGTGGGGTGGTGCCAGAACAGCGACGCTACTGCCTACTTTGAATTCCATCATGGGACCTCGGTTTTTCGCCCAATGCGAACGACTAGACGCTGTTCTTTACCAGTTTGATTTGAATTGTCAGATGTAAGACTTGTAATGATGACATGGAAACGTGTAGCTGTTTGGATGAAATCAAAAACCTAAACTGGCATATACCAATTGAAAATAGATCTGTCTGCCATGGATGAATATATCATTGCATATTACAATTAGCATAAAAAAATATGTCAAAATGAACAATGTACAATCTCGACGAGACCTAAATCCCCTTCTATTCTTACAAACTGTTCTGATTGCCGTGTGATTGGCTAAAGGCTATCATTTGAAAGTTTAATACGTGATATAATTATATTCCATGTTTCGAAACGTCGTGCTATACGGGAACACACCAGTGATTGTTTTCCATATAAACTGTGTTGTATTTTTTTTTATTGTGCTCGATCGTTAAATGCTACTCAATTAAAAATATTATTATTCTCGATATTTGTTGTTTTTACGTTCTAGATGTTGGAATTCAAAGGGTGACCCATATTCATTCGACTCAAGATAACACTGGTATTCGCTTTGAAAGCGTTCTTTATTTGGAAAACTAATAAAATTATCGGGGTATTTAATCAAATGAAGCTGTAACCGTGTCTTACACAGCAAACGGTGTACAAAAAGTGAGGGCCACTCGGAAAACCTCAGCCGATTCCAGTGCCCTTCCCTACCGAGGTTTGCCGAGTGAGTGAGGGCATGTCTTATTGGCACAAGGGAGGAAACTCTGAAAAGAAATAAGGAACAACATTTCCTTTTCTGTTAACTTGATTGTTAACATTTTTTTTAGCATTTAGCATTCAGAGGATTCTAATCTCTTAACCCACAAAGAGCCAAATAAGTCGCAATATGCTAAAGGTCTTGAAAGGACAGACCACCAGGATTTTAACAATAATTGCATCACTATGACGTCAATGTTATGGATCTAGGGTTTCGGCATGCCACACCATTCTTATCCTTCCACATACAGCTTAGAACCCAGAAAACAACAACTATAGTGAATGAATGAATAAAAATGATAGAAATGGGTTTTAGCGTCCACCTTTTCTGCTCCAGTCGGGCTAATGAAGACGGACATACGTCATGCTGTGTGCTTTGGGGGAACTTTTGCCCGAACAGCAATTACCTTCCAACTCTCAAGGGTTCTTTCTGGGCCCGAACCTCCTGGTTAGTGAATCAACGTCAACTCACCCAACAACAAACAAAGGTGAGAAGAAAGGGAGAGAAGGAAGAATTGTGTATAAATAGACAGAGTGGAAAAAACTATGCTCTTGGTTTCTTTTTCGGAGACGGGTTAAGCAGACTGATGCAGAGATATTCCGTCATGGCGTATAGGCCGTGTGCATACAAAGCCCCTGATATTTGGTTTCTGTATTTATGTATATTACACAAGGTTTAATAACGGTATTAGATGAAGAATGTATCTTTATATGCATACAGGCCCAGAGTTACAGAACTAAAAGAAAGTAAAACAGACGTTTTCAGTTAAAAAGAAAAGTATTATTTTAAAGTCGGTAAGAATTGCAAAGCATAATTAATATAGTCAGCGCCACTTTATGTGGTAAGTAGATTATTATTAGTTAACTTAAAGTATATCAAATATCAGAATTGGACAAAACAATGTTTAACAGTTAGTGGATTTTTATCATTACATATAAGCTTCTACTCTATACAATAGTAACACTTTTTAATGTACAGATAGATTTATGCAGGGGCCTTGCAAGGATTTTTTTTATGTAGAATTATTGTACATTTTCAGGAGGTTACAAACCCATTTGCATGGCATATGGATCGTGCTCAGGAAATATATTGGATACAGATACATGTAGTTAAATATAAAATAGTACTTAAAATATGAAATCAAGATTGCAAGTTATGCATATTAAAAAGCATATTATTCTTAGAAACAGATAACATCAATTGTGAAAAAGTTTAACTGACATCAATCATAAGGTCGGTATCATCAGCAAGTGGTGCTTGGACACCATCTGAGTCATCGGACATTTGGATTTGAGCAGTGTCTGCTTGGACAATCGATTTTGAACCGTCGGGATTTATCAGAGGCGTAGCTGTGGCCACCACAAGTCCGGGTTGCAGGGGTAGTGGGTCGGCTGTCTGGATAGGCATTACTGTTTGACTGTCGTCATTTATTTGACTTAGCAGGCTAATAATAACTTCCAGGAGGTATCTACAAACACTGAAATTAACCTCATATACTGCCACTGGAAGGACAGGTGCGGATGCAGGCTGGGCGGTGGGGTAATTTTGTTGGTATTGCTGTGAAGCATAGTTGGAATCAGCAGGTGCGCCGGATGGATTGTCACGGAAGTAGCTATTTTGGGTCTGTTGGACGTTTCTTCTCAACCGTGCAAGAGCATATGCAGCGGCTCTCTTGTACCGTCCATACCCACCACTGTATTCCTGTTGATATCGCTGCTGTTGCTCTTCTCTCTGTTGTTCCTGTTCTTGTTCATATTGTTGTTCTTGTTGTTGTCGTTCTTCCTCGTACTGCTGCTCTTGTTTTCGCTCCTCTTCATATGCTTGTTGTTGTTGATCGTATGCTTGCTGCTGCTGATCATATGCTTGCTGTTGCTGTTCACGTTGTTGTTGGTATCGATCGTAGCCATTATTGTAATATCCTTGTCTTCGATGTCGAGATAATAGGACCTCATTTTCCCGCGCTTCGGGGGAAACTCTAATTGCCCGAATAAAAGTTAAGGCAGACAGGGAAAGGCTGAGATAAATCTGAAGAGAAAAAAAGAGTTCATGTTTCAAATTAATTAGTAAACTAAGCATCTGACCATAAGAAAATGTTTGATCACGGTTACGATGAGTTCTTTTAAAGGTTTTGGTGTTGTGTTTTTCATTTTGGAACGGATAGATCTATTATCTCAACACAATAGTCACTGCCTAAAAATAAAGCGGACATAGACGTACAGGCTTGATCAGTGTTAGGGGGGGGGGGGGTGAGGCGGGGCAAAACCTAAAATGCCCGAGAAAACTTAGGGTTACAAACGGCGGCGCCGATCGACAGCACGGGGCGCCATGGAGCCACCGTGATACACCGCCGCAAATGCATTTTTTGTACTATTCTAGCCCGCAACCGAAATCCCACTATATGCCGACTTGAATTCCAACTATATAATTGGACTTTTGCTGCTAAATTTACAAATAATAATTGATGACCGAAAAATATCGGACAAAGTAAAGTGACCCCTGAAGGCAAAATGTTTAATCCATAGTCAATTCAGTAGAAAATTCGTGGTATTCCATTAAAAGAAAAGTAAAATTAGTGTTTTATTAGATCTCGGGCACTTTTTGTTGCCAACTTATAGATGAAATAATAATTTTTGTTTTCATTTTATCCATCTGCCCGAAAAGCCAGATTTCCCGAAAGTTAGGGGAGCAGCTGCCCCCCCCACCCCACCCCCATGCCTATGCACTAACAACTAATCTGAGATAAAAGCGCGTAAGTGGTTGTGGTTTGAAGATATTTTGAAACCAAACGTAGTTGTGCACTAAAAACAAAATATTGCCAAGATTGCTTATTAAAACACCCAAGATTTCCGATACCATTTATCAGAAACAGAGTAAGAGTGGGTTGGACTGCATAGGTACTGCATAGGTACTGCTGGGCCCAAGTATTATTTTCAATGGGAAAAAAGTCTAAGAAAAATCCAGTTTATATTTAAATGGCTAATAACAATTAAAATTCTAACAATTGCTTTGCGCAATTAATTTAAACTAAATTGTGTTGAGTAAACTGGATTGGATATAACCTATCTCTTCAAAAATATATAAAAAAAATAAACTTTTGACTTGTAATCGTTAATGGCTAAAGCGTCTAAAATATCCGAGACTGGCGTAAAACATTTAAGGGTTCTAATGGTCAAAGAATAACATCGATATAAAAGTCTTTAACTTATTTTCGAATTGTTCTTATGAAATATAAGCCAAGTGTCAAAAATAAACTTACTACAAAAGTCTTCATGTTGTCCCACAGTAATCCGTTACTGCTATTCTACTTGCAGGAAGAAAGATCTGGTAAATTTTTAACTCGTCCTGGTACTTTTATACCTTCTTTTAAATGAATAACCCCTTTCAAATCTATCACCTGGAGCGCTGCCTTTCACTCACCTGATTCGAAAAGACAGTGACTAAATTTTAGAGATTCCGGAACCAATGGTGCCGCTGTCTTATAATTACCGAGATCGCCTTAATAATAAGATAATTAGCGCACACCCAATATCATTAACCCCGATGTCAAAATGAACAAGCACGTACTCCGATAAAATTAATGCAATTTTTACACAAAAAAATTATACCTGACAAGACTAGGAAAAAGTTGCCCCCTACAACCACCCAACAATATACATCCCACAATAACATGCACGTCGCAATTGTTATTGTTCTAAAAATATACTATGCGTAATTAAATAATAACAAAGATAATTTGCTGTATTGTTAGTAAAACAAGCAGGACTACGAATGTTTAGTTCACTTCATGCCGAAATGAATATTATTTTACTCCCCTTCCGCGTCTCACGGTCTACGTTACATTGTAAACAACTGTTACGGATAGTCTACACCACAAGGACATTTTAAATCAAAACCATAAAATAATGAGAGTATATTTCTTTTTAATTTGGTTAACTTGGAAAAGTCGCGAGCAGAACGAAGAGGTCACAACACACCTTACGGAGACGGGATGGGGCGGACGGGCGGGGCAGGGGGGGGGGGGGGGTCGTATTCGAGTGGCCATGTTTTTTTATATTCAATCAAGTCTCGTGGTTTCGATCCCATGTTTGTGATACGCAGCAAGCCTAACCGGATGAGACCCCCGCTTTCCTCCCACTGGCAAGGACCCATACGGACACGATTTATTGAATCAAAGATAATGATCTAGCTTGCGCTGGGTAGACTATACGACTTGGTATCACTAGTTCGACGCGCGCAATTCTGCACTATTCTCCTCACAAATGGTGTGAGACGAGCTATAGATCATACGACATTGATATTTTAGAAAGTACAACGATAATTGGTTAATTTTGAGCTAAAGACACTAATAAACTTGTCGTATGAAAACCTCTGATAATTTTTGGAATAAGTCAAAACTTCAGTTTTCCTTGTCTGTAGTGTCTGGGTATAAGATTGCCTTGCCTTAATATACTATTCAAAAAAAGTAGGGGATATTTGATTTTGGGGGCATAATACTAAAATATGCAAATGACTACGAAAAAAGTCACTATAGAACCTAACAGAAGAAACATTTCCAGTTACATGTGACGCCCAAACGCACCAATAGCTACCGCATGGAATGCATGTGATGCTTGGGATCATCATGGGGGTCCAACCCAAGATTTGCACGACTCTGACTTTGAATGTTACAGTCATTGTGGCATTGAATTCCAGGGTGGAAACATCAGTTTAATTGTTTTAGTGACCAGAAAACAAATTTTGATATGCGTCGGCTTACCCAAAATGAAAGGTTACGTGCCCTTGGCATGCTACAGATCGGCACAACACAGGCGGTTGTGGCGCGGACGATGAATGTTTCTCAGTCTGTCATAAGCAGGCTATGGTCCAGATACCGTGATACACAATCTGTACAGGACAGACCACGCTCAGGTCGACCAAGGGCGACAACTCAAGCCCAGGATCGATTTATCCGTACCTTGGCCTTGAGAAATCGTGTCATCACAGCAAATCAGATCAGCGCTCGTCTTCAACCAGACACTGGTGTGAGAGTGAGTGGCCAGACGATTCGGAATCGACTGCATAGGGGTCACCTTCGCGCCCGACGTCTTCCCTTGTTTGAGAGATCATCACATTCAGGCAAGACGTCGTTGGTGTAGGGATCGTCAACACTGGGATAATCGACGCTGGAGCAATGTGATGTTTTCAGATGAGTCAAGGTTCACTGTTGATTTTTTGGACAGACGTAGGAGGGTGTGGCGTCGTCGAAACGAGCGCTTCCAAGACGTTAACGTCATCAGACATGATCGATTTGGGGGTGGTTCTGTTATGGTGTGGGGAGGCATCACTGTTGCTGGAAGAACGGCTTTACATGTTGTTGCAGGGCGTGTTACAGGCCAGTACTACCGGGACAACATCTTGGCAGTCCATGTTGTGCCGTTCGCACGACGTCATGGCCGCCGTTTCATCTTCCAGGATGACAACGCAAGATGTCACAGGGCCAGGATCGTTACAGGTTACCTCCAACAACAGAACATCACCACATTACCTTGGCCAGCACTGAGTCCCGACCTCTCCCCCATCGAACATGTCTGGGACATGCTTGGACAGAGGTTACGTCAACGTCAACAACGTCCTGTCAATGTCCAAGAACTTGCTGCTGCGTTGCAACAGGAATGGGACAATCTGGACCAAAATGACCTTAGACGTCTCATTAGGAGTATGCCACGTCGGATCAATGCTTGTTTGGCAAACAGAGGAGGATTTACCCGTTACTGACTTGGTTGTGATGCTGTGGTAACTTTGCTGTTTGACCCCGGGTATCGAAATGAAATGAAATGAAATGGGGTTTAACGTCCTACTGTTCTGCTCCTAACCTGGGCTAATGAAGACGGGCATACGCCATACAGTGTGCTATGAGGGAAATTTTGCCCGGGCAGCGGCACTACGGCCTACTCTTATATCGAATTCCAACTGCCAAGGGATCTTTTACGTGCACGCCAATGTGTACACGGGACCTCGGTTTTTCGTCCCATCCGAACGACTAGACCCCGGGTATCATTTTACCCTTATAATGGTCAGTCTGTGCCTTACTTAGTCTAACGATCATTTGGAATAAATCGATGAATGTGAACTTCATTTCATTTTGTCATTTGTTTCTTCGTCAGTTTCATTAGGTGACTTTAATAACACATAAAAATCAAATATCCCCTACTTTTTTTGAATAGTATAATAATGAAATGAAAAAGAGTGTAACATGTTAGTGTTCTGCTTCGACTGGGGTAATGAAAACGGGCACACGCCATACAGTGTGCTATGAGGGAAATTTTGCCCGGACAGCGGCGCTACGACCTACTCTTATTTCAAATTCCAACTGTCAAGTGTTCTTTTATGGGCACGTCAATCTGTACATGGGACCTCGGTTTTTCGTCCCATCCGAACAACTATACGTCGACCCTTGCCAGACCCTCCACCCTACTGAACTAACAAGGGGAAACTTTCTCGACCAACGCAGGGATCGAACACGGGACCGGAGGTCAGCGGATCTAGAAGCTATGAATGGGGGGGGGGGGGGGCAAATCTAGGGCGCCATCAACAATCTTACACAACAATGAATGTCAACAAACTACTGACTATAACACTGAGCGCCCCGTTAGATCACAGATCGTTGCCTATTGTTCGTCGAACTTTATCTCGCTGCATGGTTAGCAGTTGACATGAAGTTCAGGTCATATTATGCGCAAGCAGCTCGAAGGGAAAATCGAATGGGGGCGGGGGTTTCTCTGCCTGCGAAAATTTAGAAAATTTTGAGGTCATTGCTGGGAGCAAATTCTCGTGAACGAGAGGATCAGAAATGGGACAGAATCTCGAGATCCCGAGATCCGTCTGTCAATTCTGCCTGTTTTGTGAGGGGTGACAGAACAAAGTACAGTCTATTGTCCCACGTCCCTCGGACTATATGAAACTACCAACTGGGCGATTCTCTTTACTGTGAATATGTTGGTGATGAGATAAGATAAGACCACAGAGGGGTGGAAGAATGATGATATAATGTAATCGAGCGCCGTAGGCGCGAAAAAAATTCAGATATAGCGACGTATAATAACTAAGCTTTTAAATTTTGGGGACTGGGCCTGAAAATTTTAGTCAATATCTGGACATTTGGGTTTATTGATGGGAGCAAATTCTTGTGAACGAGAGGAGAGGATAAGAAATGGGACAGAATCTCGAGACCTGCCTGTCAATTCTGCCTGTTTTGTGGGAGTTCACAGAACATTTGTCGGCATACAACCGCTTGCACTATATAGTGGTACTACTAACGGCGCATAATATGCAATTTACTGAGCTTCTAATCATTTGGGCCTCGCTACTTAGGGACGCCGCTTACTTTGTCTCTCGGGGGCGCTTATTTAATCTCATGGGCCAAGCCTTATATCCGCTTCTGGGATGGGGTGGGGTGGGGGTATTTAGCCAGATGAATTTGAAATGGACATTTGAGAGATAATAAATAAGTCACATTGCTCCTCGTAGCGGGGCGTAAGGGAGTCGCGGTGGCTCAGTGAGTAAGACGCTGGCTCGCTGGCCTGGGGTCTAGGGTTCTTTCAGGTGTTGGCCGAGAAAGTTCTTCGGGATTTTCCGTTGTGGTTTTCCCCCTTGTCAGTGGTGCCTGGCAGGGACAGCTGTCCAGTCTTTCGGATGGAACGAAAAACCAAGGTCCCGTGTACACATGGGCGTGCACGTAAAATAACCCTTTGCAGTTGAAATTTGATATAAGAGTATGTCCGTCTTCATTAATCTGGTCAGACCGGTTGGGTCGCCTTGAAAGCATTAAGCATAGATATGTTCACAGAAAAAAACAAGTCTTATGCCAGTGTTTCTGTATGCATTATGTGACATGACCTCCAATTGCTTTAGCTACAGGATAATAGCATGATAGGGTCGAATCAAGTATAAAAACAAAAGAACCAAAATAAATACACAGTGTTTTATGATATTATTTTTTCGTCTGTCACGATCCCTTTATTGTTATAGTGTACAATATCACTCACTATACAACGGATATTATAGCCACCCTACAAATTTGACAATGTTGGTGAAATGTGACATCGGTAGTGACCAATGTCTTCTGTAGACAATTTAATTGTGGGTCATACAAACTTCTCATTTAAAATTCTCATTTAAAAATGTGGGTCATGCAAAGTTTTCATTTTTAAATGTGGGTCATGCAAAGTTTTCATTTGCAAATGTGGGTAATGCAAAGTTCTCATTTAAAAATGTGGTATTTGGTGCTCTACAAAAGTAAAAAGAAATTGTTTTGGTAGGTGGAAGGGTCGATGCAAATATCTTTTTGGACATCTGCTTAAGATTGTGCAAGGTAAAGGAGATGTATTATAAAATTTGTACGTTTCGTTTCTGATATATGAGGTATAAAATGCATACATCTGAATATTCCCCTAATAGAAGCGTTGACAAATTGTGGGAGTTTAACCTATCGACAATCGTATCCCGAGGTGCTAAGACAGACTCGTTTTAGACACCAATTCATTCTGGGAATAAATACCACCAAAGGATTAACTAAGGGGTCTTTAAAATGATCTATGAACTTGTAAATCTACTTTTAATTCGGAATTTATTTCCGATGGTGGTTTTAAGCAGCAATGGTTCAATACAAGTCAGAATAATTTGTCGTCATTAATTGGTCATATAATTATAATTACTTATAATTGGTGGATATAAGTAATATAGTTGTAATTTAAGTTTAGACTCTCTAATAATGTCATTTTTTTTTATCATTATTCTCTAATTATGTACATTGTTTTATAGTATATACCTCGAATTATATTTGAAACTTGAAAAACAATATGTATACTTTTTTGTTATTTTTAAAACTACATTATTTTTTATGGCTTTAGATTTAACGTTTTACATTTTGTAAAACATGGTATTCGATTCAATTAGATTAATAATATTAAGGTTACGATATAACTTAAAGTAAGGACAAAATGAGTAAATATTTTTTTTAAGCCGATTCGTCTCTTTGCCGAATCATCTGTAAGTCAGTAGCGTATGCAGCGCCGTCTATTGGGTAATTTTACAATGGCGTCGTCACCAAACCTAAATTTGTGAAAGGCCATATGAGAGATAAACACGGTAATGAAACAATAAAATAAAGTTTTACACACATGAGCCAAATGAAATAGAAATTGGTGAAATTGTATAAATATAAGAAATTTAAAATCAATGAACAAATTGACATGAATCAATTTCCTAATACACCGGTGAAACCGAAAGTAAACAACTTCACGCGTGAAGTCAAAATTGAAAGTAGACATAGTACCTTGTAAAGTTCCAGATATAATAAATGTTAATTAATTTTATGCATTCAAAGTACATTAGCGCATTATTTATCCATAAAGGATCTAAAGCTGTAACTCAATATTTTCCATAATATTCGAAATTAAAAACACGAATTAGAATTCAATCTTAGGCCTATATCACATATTTAAGACACAATGAACATTTTAAAATCGGTCCATGAGTCGTGTACTCAATTAATGGTTATAGGCGCCTTTTGTAATTAACAAAGAAAAATACAATGACAATGTCATGTGGGAAGTAGCCGAATTAGTAATGGCTGATTCACAAATGATAAATAATAATCTTTTAAAAAAAAACCTGTAGAATGGACTAAGCAGGCATAAACGACCACCTTTCAGTTTGGACTGTTCACATATTTCATCGAATATATAAGTGAATAGAAATTACAATAAAAAATATACTGGGTAATTCACTTTATATGCATTCTTCGTCAATTTGAGTTTCCAAAAAATAGAGTCATATACCGGTACACCCTTTAACAGCCTAAATTTTAAAAAAAAGAATTTCCCAGTTTAATATAATTTCACCTTCGACTATCTTGACTAGATGAATGAGACAAATTCAAATTGTTCAACATCACTAAAAAGCACAAGCCTACAGAATCTTTTATTAAAGTGGTTATTAAGAGAGTATATAACTCTCAGCCAAAATGAATTTTATTCCGCAAGTCAGTGTTTGTGTTTTCAATAATCTTGTAGTGTAAGTGATAGTACCTCTTTAATAGAACATTAAAACATGACGAACAAAGGATTTAGATTATTGGAGCTGTGATGGCTCAGTGTTGGACGGGATTTTCCACCCCAGTTTCCTTCATGTCATTGGTGTAGGATGACGGGTTTGGCAATGAAATATGCGTCTAGTCATTTGAATGAGATAAAAAACCAAATTCCATCCTGTACTCGTTGGCATGGACATAAATGAACCCTTGACTGTTCAATGAACCTATTGCAATTTCTATTCACTTCTAGACATCTTTATTCAGGTATTAGTGTTTGTTTATAGTAAATGAAGATCATACCTAGTGACTAAGATATGATTTAGAACCAGTTAAAGTTTCAAAATGGCAGAGGGGGAGAAAGATGAGTTCCTGTTTGACCTGCTACAAATTGGCTGTAATTGTAATGTAGAGGTCATACCTGTACAACCGAAAAAAGATACTAAAGTACCAACTTTACCATTGAAAACGGTAGGTCAGATTGTTGACTAAATTGTCCAGTCTCAAACTTTTTTTATCCATTATTTGTGTATTAATATGGCCTGGAAATAATGGATTTAGTACCTGACATTTTGAACTTTGTGGAGGACATTAATAACACTAAATAACAGACAGTGTTTGTGACGAGTGCCTGTTTTCCAAGCTTGTAAATGATATTGCCACCAATTACATTGCTTTCATTCTATCATTTCCCCTGTATCAGTACACATTATTTTAATTGATCTTAAAGCTACCTAATGGAATACCACCAGTTTTACCAGAGTTAAATGAAGATTTAGAGAAGTTGTTGACATGCCTGGAAGATCTTCCAATACATGATATTAACAGAGCACAGAGGTACAATATTAATAAACTATTAACTATTTACACTACACATAGAAAACAAAAGGTTATTCCTATATGACACAGGGCTGTTGAACATTGTCGAGAAATCTGGACACTTAACTAGAAAAATCCTGGTTCCAACTTGTTGAGGAAAGTCTGCCTATTTCTTTGAATGGGAAGAAAAATAATGACCCATCCCTGAACACATTGGTGTGTACATGAAAGAAACCTTGATTGTTGAAACTTGATGAATAGTAGGTGCTGTCCTGGCAAAATTCATCTCCCTAGCAGTGCGGATGTGATCATAGAAAACAATAAACCAGATGTTGGTCTCAAAATGACCAAAGTAAAGTGGAGTGTTGACGAGACAATAAACCTCATTCCATTCAATTCCTTTATGATACTGCTTATTGATCATTTATTGTGTATATTTAATTTCAAGGTTTTGGCCTCGTGAGAAGCAGCCAGAAAGATTATATTCTGTAGATATTTGTCCTGTTCAAACAACTATTCAAGTTGAGAGGAATCCTACAACAGGACAGCTTATAGGTTTTAAAGAGGTAATCGTTTGTTAAATCTTAAGCTACACTTGTTACCCTTGATTCACCAAGTCAAATACCTAGACATCCAAACTGCATAATGTATCTATTGATTTTATTCCATAAAGAAACAAAGTTCAACAGAATAAAAATAGACTTAAAGGAGCTACATGTAAATCTCTATTTCTTGGAACCTAAATCACATATTAATGTAATAATATTTTAAAACAGAATATTCTAGTTTATTATAAATAGTTATTTTCTTTTCTTTACAGAGTTTTATACCAGATATGGGGAAATCTTCCAATAATTCTTTGTCCTTACGTAGATCTCCAGGAGCTAACTATCAGGATATCCGTGGAAACACAACAAACTATCCATTTTGGCCAGGTAAATTTGAAGTCTTTGACCATCAAAAAAAGAAATTCAACCATGTTTCATTCGTGATAGATAAATAGACCGGGATAATCGCATCTCAGAGGGAATTCCTTCTGATGCCATATATAGATAGGCGACAGTGATCCAGTGTGAAACTGCTGCTGGAAGCGGCCATGATTGTTTAGTGCGGATAACATGAACCGTCATAATTTATTGAAGAACTGATCTAAGTCGGGGAAACCTTCCCGTTTACTATAAATAGCTTTTTTCTTTCCGCTTGTATCTCCATTATTACACACCAAACGGTCGGACTGTTAAATGTCCTCTGTTTTTTTTTTACACATGGAACAAGTGCACAAAGTTTTAATAAGAATGGGAGGGTTGGATGGTGATTGGTTAACGCATGCGCATTGTATCATAAGGTCTGTCATTGAGTCAACTTGTATGGTTTCGATTCCCCGGTTGTAGGTGACGAGGAGTAGGGTCGCCTGTCCAACCTCGTGGGTTTTCTCCGGATCCTTCGGTTTCTTGACTCACTGCTAAAGATCCCTACGAACAAGAGAATTATTGAAATAAAATTGAACCATATCTTAGTCCCGAAATGATCTAGTTTGTGTCGAGTGGACATTAAACTCTCTCTCTCTCTCTCTCTCTCCCTCTCTCTCTCTCAATAAGAATGATGTTGAATGGTATGTTAGACTACTTAACACCAATAATAGAGCAACAATGGTTCGGAGAAATAATAATAATTATTCTTTAATTATTTGAAATGAACCTGGTGGTACCTGGAATAAAGATGTAACTTAACAGATTGTGGCATGGGGTCAGATTTTATAAATACATTGTGAATGGTTTAATTTTTTACCTTTGCCATGTAATCTTCTTGGATTAATTTTAGGTGGAATGGATGAACCCATCTTAGAGAATTTAAATCAAGAGGAGAGCCAGATGGAAATCAACCTGACAACAGGTAAAAAATATATAACTGCAATGAGAATTTTATGTAATGTAGTAACAACATTAAAAAGGCTTTTATATTGTGCTTGACTACAAACTTTTCTAGGCTGAAAAATTAAAAGCAATTACTTGTAAATTAACTGAAAATGGAGTATGGGTTAGTTCTAAAATACAATTAGGACCCACAATAGTTCTGTGGAATTAAGTAAACATAGTTGGGGGGGGAGGGGTCCTACTCTTGATAAAGACAGCTTGAGTATGGTGATTTTGAAAGTTTTGTATATGTCATATACTTTAGTTTATTGAAAAAAGTGAAAAGAGGTGTTTTAAGTTGAGAAGAAAGAAAACTGAAATGTATAAAAAGCATATTGACTTCTGATTAATTAATTTGACAGATTTATTAAACACAGCACCTAATATGCCCTCTGGTATGACCTTTGAGAATAAGAAAACAGACTCAGTAGAAGTTTTGCCGGTTAAGTCAGAAATTAAACTCACTACATTGGTTGACATTATGGCACTAGATGATATTGATGACCTTGACCTGGGTGATAGTGATGACGAGGATACAAACGACTCTATCACTGAACAGGTATATTGAGATCAGTTTTTATACGCCCACATTTTCATGAGGACGTATATTGTCGTCACCCCTGTTTGTGAACAGTCTACAGGTCACAATTTTTATCCGAATTCAATGAAACTTGAAATATAAGATCTCAGTTTCTTTCGATATTGGCATGTATTGGATTTTAACTTCATGGATTATGGCTCCTGATTGTATGAAAAATCACGTTTTTAGCTTGTGAACACTGTAGGGGTCACAATTTTTATCCGATTTGGTTTAAACTTGACATGTATGTTTATAACCCACAGATCTCGGTTCCTTTCGATATTCGCGCATATCGGACCATAACTTCCTGAATAATGGCCCCTGATTGTACGAAAAATCGCGCAATTTCAGCTTTTGGACCCTATAGAGGTCATAATTTTTATGCGATTTGAAAAAATCGTTTGAATATATCACCGTTACAGCCTATGGATGGTTGATGTTGAATTTCGTAAAAATAGGACCAAAACTGACAGACAAAATGGCCGCCCCTCATACTCAAATAGCGTAAAAATAGGATATATCATGGTTGTGGACTACTAGAGGTCACAATTTTCTTCTGATTTTGATGAAACTTGAAATGTAAGTTTATAACCCAAAGATCTCCGTTCCTTACGATATTCGCACATATCGAACTGTAACTTCCTGAATTATGGCCCCTGATTTTACGAAAAATCGCGTTTTTAGCTTGTGGAGCATATAGTGGTTATAATTTTTATCCGATTTCAAAAAACATTTGAATATATCACCGTTACACCCTAAGGATGGTTGAATTCGAATTTTGTAAAAATCAGACCAAAACTGACAAACAAAATGGCCGCAGCTTGTACTCAAATAGCGTAAAAATAAGGTATATGAATGTTGTGGACCCTCTAGAGGTCACAATTTTCTTCTGATTTTGACGAAACTTAAAATATAAGTTTATAACCCACAGATCTTGGATCCTTTCGATATTTGTGCATATCAGATTGTTACTTCCTGAATTATGGCCCCTAATTGTACGAAAATTGTGTTTTTAGCTTGAGGTCCCTCTAGAGGTAACAATTATTATCCCATTTAAAAAAACGTTTGAATATATCACCATTACACCCTAAGGATGGTTGAGTTTGAATTTCGTAAAAATTGGACCAAAACTGACAGACAAAATGGCGACCCCTTTTACTCAAATAGCGTAAAAATATGGTATATCAAGGTTGTGGACCCTCTAGAGGTCACAGTTTTCTTCTGATTTTGATGAAACTTGAAATGTAAGTTTATAACCCAAAGATCTTGGTTCCTTTTGATATTTGCACATATCGGATCGTAACTTCCTGAATTATGGCCCCTGATTTTACGAAAAATTGCTTTTTGTTTAGCTTGTTCTCTATCCATCTCTTGCAAAATGTGGGCGTATCCTGCCTGGCAGCCACTGGTTTATGTTCTTATTCCTACAAAAGTTTTGATCACTGGGGAATTATTCAATATTGAGAATAATTAAAGCCACTGGTTTTCGTTTCTGTTTTTGTGGACATTATATAATTTTTCACGGTTTAATCCATGCTGAAGCATTCATATTAATTATTTAACTTGTAATTAAGAAAATAAAAAACAAATATCAATGGTAGATAATGTTCTGGCTTAAATTTCAATTGGATTAAAAAGAGGCCCATCAAAAGAGTTTACTGAATATATATGGGTGGAGCTTGCCTGTTAATATTGTCTGTAGAGAGGATGCTGAATATTGCAAAATATTCAATTACTCATATCTTTATAAATATCAAACAGATTAAAAATTTTCTAAAATGATGTCCAGAGGCTTTAACAGAATCTACCATTTATTTTTTTCACCAATAATTTACAATAGTAATTTTTTATCCATTTCTGCTTTTTCATATATTGACCAATAATTTTCAATAGAAATAAGCTATGGTAATTTTTGTTTGAAGTACTCCCATTTCATATTCCATTGTTCATATATTTTATTTTAGAACATTATAGATGATGATGGCAAACCAAAGGATGAAATGCTGGAAAATCTTGTTCAGGTGAGTACATGCATCTATTAACATATCACTTCATTGCCTTATTTTTGTTCCTCACCTTTTGAAGAAAGCAGGGGACTATTAAAATGGGTTCGTCTGTCTGTCTGTCTGTCCGTCCGTCCGCCTGTCCATCACACTTTTTGGGTCACAATAACTCTCCTTCTAATTGAGTTAGAATGTTCAAACTTGGTGTAGGTGTATATTAGGTAGATGTCTTGATGGAGTTCGGAGATGATAATTTTCTGCTTAGGGTAAGCAGAGATATGCAATTTGGTTGGTTGATGCTTTGGGACACAATAACTTTAGTTCTGATTAAGTGAGAGTGATCAAACTTGGTGTATAGTTTCATTACATCAATACCTTGACTAAGTTCGATAATGAATGTTTTCTACTCAGGCAATTTGATTGTTTGAGACTTTGGAACACAATAACTCTCCTTCTAATTGAGCAACAATGTTCACACTTGGTGGAGGTGTTTATTAGGTGAATGCCTTGATGGAGTTTGAAGATGCGAATTTTCTGCTAGGGTAAGCCTACATACATGCCCATTCTTGGAATATTGCTAGTCGAGAACATATTGGAAGTTAAAAACAAAGTAAAATATAAAAAAAAGAGTACTGAGTAGCCTACTACAACTAAGCATAGTCTAAAATGTATGCTATTTAAAATTAGGTTGTTAAGGAAGCAGATGAAGATAAAGTAAAATTACCTCCACCTAAACCTAAAGAATGGGCTGTATGTGTTGATACTAAATCACCAGTTGATGATTTCTATAAAAAAATACCTGTTATGGCAAAAACTGTAAGTATGTGCTATCAAACAGCTTATTAGTAAAACTTTATTAGGTATGTGCACATTCTTTGTGTATAGGAAAGTCTACAAAAATAATGTAAGAAGAATTATTTTTTTTATTCTGGATCAGATACCGGTCGTAAATAGCTATGATTACAATGCATATTACAAAAACTTTTAATATCAGTTCTAAATGACGACCTTTCAGTGTTAAATGGCATAGATATACTTACATCTTGAGACCTGTATAAAGAGCACAAGAAATTGGCCCTAATAAAAGTTGAACTTACTTTGTGAATGTTTACTGTCAAATCTAGATTTTATAACATTAATGTTGGTGATCATGTTTAGATTTTTACTCAATAGAAATTATTTTTGTGATTATGAGTTCTTTATATCTTATTACACAGTGGCCATTTGAACCAGATGTATTCCAGAAACAAGCTATATTACATTTGGAGAGTAATGATAGTGTATTTGTAGCAGCTCATACCTCGGCTGGTAAAACAGTTATAGCTGAATATGCAATAGCTCTATCTTTAAAACATATGACCAAGTAAGTCACTAAATATATTTAATCTCAATTTACACTTTCCAGATGTTCAATATTTATAAGGAATTATGTCCTTGTGTGTAGAATTCATGAACATATTTTCACATATTAATCAAACAGGAATTTACTCCCTTGCCTGTGTTGAAAATGAATGTTACCGTTTCCTTAATCATCGATGCGATTTGATTTTAGTTGCTAAGGATTTACACTAATCCAACATGATATGAATCTGGTTGTCTTTAGAAGTGCCGTTAGATGATTTTCCAAAGCGATTACTCTAATTGTTATTTGCGCCATTGCTGAGATATGATTAATAACATCAGTGTTGTTGAGGTCTGATCTTTTAATTACTTGTTTCTTAAAGGACTATTTACACATCACCTATTAAAGCACTCTCAAATCAGAAGTATCGAGATTTTAAACAGACTTTTAATGATGTTGGTCTGGTAACTGGTGATGTACAGTTAAACCAAACAGCCTCCTGTTTAATCATGACTACAGAAATTCTAAGGTTAGTCATATTGCTAAATAATGATATGTTAGATAGGGTGTTTTAATAAAATAATGAAGAAATATATTTCTATGAGTTATCAAGTCTTGTTCACTGAAAACATACACCATTACCACCAGTACTTTCGTTCTCTTATACAACTTTCATTGTATTTGTTATACAAGGTTTTGATTTTATTAGAGATGTTTTATCTATTATAGATCTATGTTATATAACGGTTCTGATGTGATTCGAGATTTAGAATGGGTTATATTTGATGAAGTTCATTATATTAATGATTCTGAGGTAAGTGGATTATAGTATCAAATAACAAGTCTCATTTCCTTAATATTACTGAATACGACTGAATAATTTGAAATGTCATTTAATTTCAAATTAAGAAAATATGAGTTTCTTCTATAGTTGTAAATTATATTATAGACAATTTCTTCTTTCGAAATGCATTTTATATTTTCATTACCGTTGATAGATTTGAATATTGTATTTAGTTGATTTACTTTGAATTTGAGCTTTATTGTACCATATGATTTTGTTAAATCAGGATAAAGCTTTTTGTTATAGTAAATTTTTATTGTTTGTAATAGTTTTTCACAAAAGAGAAAAAGAAAATTAATTCACATTTTCCTTTTATTGTTAGAGAGGTGTTGTTTGGGAAGAAGTATTAATTATGTTACCAGACCATTGTAATGTCATACTACTTAGTGCTACTGTACCTAATACTGTGGAATTTGCTAACTGGGTGGGGTAAGTACAAAATACATTTATTAGACATAAATTCTGTGCAATTTTAAATTTTATCAGAGAACCACCTTCTTTGCAACCGATCTTTTTATCTTCATGCAGTCAAGACATTTTGTAATCTTCATAACTTAAATTCACAATTTAGATGTAATTTTTATAGTTTATGTCATAGTTTTATGTAATCTTCATAGTTTATAGTAATAGTTTGGATGAAATCTTCATAGTTTATAGTCATAGGTTAGATGTAATCTTCATAGTTTTAGTCAAAGCTTAGATGTAGGTCAAATCTTCATAGTTTACATTCATTGTTTATAGTTTAACTTCATGATTATCATGTAATCCTCATAGTTTTAATTCATTATATTTATGTAATCTTCATAATTTTGATGCAATCTTCAAAGTTTAAATTCATAATTATGAAGATATCTTCATAGTATAGATTCATTATTTGGACATAATCTTCATAGTTTAGATTCATAGTTTCGATGTTATCTTCATAGTTTAGAGCCATAGTTTCAATGTAACCTTCATTGTTTGAATATGATAGTTTTCATTTTTTAAATATTTTTGCAAAGATTTTGCACATTTTTTTAAAAATATTATTTAGACAAATAAAACGTAAGAAGATATATGTTATAAGTACACAGAAGAGACCAGTACCATTAGAACATTATTTATATACTGGTAATAGTAATAAAACTAGTAATGAACTATTTCTACTCATTGATGATAAGGGAAACTTCTTAACTACTGGGTAAATATAGACATCTTTATACATTCACATTGATTCATTGTTTATTAGAATTTAAGAGGACTACTTATTTTTAACGAAGAAGATGAATAATTTGTAGTCTTTTATTTGTAAACTTAACAATGTAATTTATAGTATTAATTTGCTTCTTGCATTAATTCAAAATGTTGCAGTATGTTCATATATCATGCAATGTATTTATATATTTCAGTTTTTATTTATTTATCAAGTTGGGTAAGCCTTTCTTACAATTTTTATTTTAGATATAAAAAAGCATTAGAAGCTAAGAAAGAGAGAGCTAGTAAAAGATCTCAAAATTTTGGTGCTAAAGTAAACAGGGGAGCTAATCCATCACAGGTTAGTGCTAAATACCAACAACAAAACTATTAACGGTGTGTGACCAAAATAATTATGTTGACCTCAAAGAATATTGTGTCAGATATTCTAAGTATACTTTACTGCTTGCAATCCACTTACATTAATTTTCTTTTAGTCCCTTACGAGTATAGGTTTTGTCTCTGTATCTCTTTCATTTTTGGTTTCTGGAATTCTAGTTTTGAAAATTAAAATATGAGATATTTGATTGAAATTTAGTACCCTGCTGTAAATAGCAGAGTTAAGGATCAAATTGCATTTTGTAGGATTCAGGATTCTGTTAACCTGTTAAGCGTACGTTTTTAAAACGTTAACTACCCCCTATTGTGTAATTAATTTGACGAAGTGACAAAGTACTATGTACTATGTTCTAAGAATAGGTGGGGGAAAATACCTCCAAGGCGTTATATTACGCCCTACACACAGTGAGTGGCAGTTGTCCAGGACGTAATATAACGTCCTACACATGCTGCGATCGTGGGGGAATTCCCAAGAACTATGTTCTAAGAATAGGTTGGGGAAAATACCTCCAAGGCGTTATATTACGCCCTACACACAGTGAGTGGCATTTGTCCAGGACGTAATATAATGTCCTACACATGCTGCGATCAAAAGGGAATTCCAAGGGATTCCCCCAAGTGATGAACTATGTTCTAAGAATAGATTGGGGAAAATACCTCCAAGGCATTATATTACGCCCAACACACAGAGAGTGGCAGTTGTGCAGGACGTTATATAACGACCTACGCACTTAACGGGTTAAATTTGTTTACTGAATTATGGCCTTTTGTTGACTTACGGTCAATGAAAATTGTGTTTTCCAGAATTTGTGTTGATTAAACTTTGTATTATTTGATTAAAGCTTGGTGCACTGCAGTATAGCCCTATTATAGATGCATGCATTATAAAATTTGTTGGGTCCAGTAGTGAACATGTTTTACTTCAACAGTGGTCTCAGAATGCTTGTTTATACAAGACACTTACATTCAGCCTTATTATTTATGCAAGACGCTATATTAAACTTTTTTCAATAAACTGCCATTATTTGCTGTTTTAACATTTCACCTTATATACATAAAAAATAACCAACAATGAAGGCTTTTAATCATGGTTGGTAACATTAACAGACGGAAGAGTTTGTTGTTGAATTTCAAATCACAAAGATGATATTAAAAAACCCTTGACATGTGGCATGTGTACCTAATACACCGAAGAATAAAGTTACTCAAAACTCAAACAAACAGGATATGCTGCATTGCTTTGAATTTTTATTTTAACTATTTTATAGGAAAAGAATATTTGGTTATCTGTTATTGAGATGTTAAAATCTAAGGATCAACTTCCAGCTGTAGCCTTTACTTTCTCTAAGAAGAAAATAGATGATAATGCCTACCATTTGCAGAGTTTAGATCTGACTAGTTCTAGTGAGAAGAATGAGATACATGTCTTCTTTCAAAAATCTATTAATAAATTAAAAGGTTCAGATAAATCTTTACCACAAGTAAGAAATTGTCTATATTTAATAAATTGTGTTTTTCTGCCTTCTGATGTTATGTTCTATTTATTGTCAGATTTTGACAAAATATAGTTGTCAAAGATAATTAAAGAATAACTCAGTGATGACAGTACAGGAAGTTGTAATTAGATCCTATTTGACTTCTGTTTGTTTATTTTATTGTCTATTTCAACGGTCACTCCTCTAACGCGGCCAGCGGTCACTATTTTACTAATAAATTCAACAAAACATCGCCCATTCAACGGCCATTGTTGAATGATACCATCTTGTCGTTCTTTCTTTTTACACTCCCGCTAATCCCGTGAGTAGTAGTTAATTAACTGAACCCCCACTGATCAGGTAAAAAGAAATGTAAAAATAACAATCAACCCGGGATTATCTGTTTATTAATCTTTTGTTGTATTAAACGACTAATCTGATCATTGTTTTCACGCGGCGTAACAACACATTATTTGATACTGATTGAATAAAATGAAAGTACCGAGTTTTGTCACGATCATCTAGTATCTCTTTTCCATTGCCACTTTGTTGTTAAACAGACGTTTTAGCGCCCCCTATAATATTACATACAGAGTTACATCCCCTGTAAATCAGTGATAAAATCAGCGATGTTTTTTTGTTCATGTGCTTTTTTTGATAAAATAAAATAAATTCATCGATTTTCTTCTCAAAAATGGATAAATATTATCGAATGCATCACAATGGTAGACAGTTGTATCGAAGGTTGGTACAAAATGACAAGTTTACAGAAATTATGTTCGAGATTTGAGTAAAGAATTTTCGTTCGGCGCAAGATTCAGCGATGATCAAATTTATCGATGCAGGTATTGATGTTCGCTCCCAATGCACCCAAGCGTAATTAATTTATGTCAGCACAAAAAGCACCGAGATTTTATTAAGTGGTCGAGTAATCGCTAAAATAGTTGGGGTGGGAAATACTCAAATTCACGGCATTTTGAAAGCTTTTAGATGCTATGATTCAGTATGATGAAAGTAAAAGAAATAATGGGGGACAGAGATCCAGTATTACTAAACAAACATGTATACGCGACTACTTTGAATTCACAACTAGATGTATTGTTATTGTTATACTACATGAATAAAAAAATATATGCAATCTATATCTTGTGGTAGGGGTTGGGGCAATATTAGATACCTCTAGTCAAAGAGCACCTTCATTAAGCAAGCATTTTTAAATTTCCCTTGGGTGCTTGCTTAATACAAGTTCTACTGTAGGTGATTTATTGTGATATATTCTAGGTAATTTTAATGGCTGATATGTTGAGGAGAGGAGTAGGAGTACATCACAGTGGTATTTTACCTATATTAAAAGAAGTTGTAGAAATGTTATTTGGTCGAGGTCTTGTAAAGGTATGTATCAATAAAATAAAATGAGTCTTTATTCCGAGATATAGGTTCTATCGATGCTTGATTTTGTCTAAAAATCTTTTTAAAAAATATGACAATTTTTAAGAACTATTTTTCTTCTTCAGATTTTGTTTTCTACTGAAACATTTGCTATGGGTGTGAACATGCCTGCTAGAACTGTTGTATTCGACTCTATAAGGAAACATGATGGTACAAACTTCCGTAATTTACTACCAGGTGAATATATACAGATGGCAGGTAGAGCTGGACGACGTGGTTTAGATACAACTGGTACTGTTATCATACTGTGTAAAGGTGACGTACCTGAAGCTGCCGAACTTCATAAAATGATGTTGGTGAGTTGCATGTTACAGTTACTATTTGTGTTAGTTTTAGTATTAAACTTTTGTTTTCTCCACAATTTAGAATTTGTTTAATCTTTTTATTTCAGGGTAAGCCTACAAAATTAGAATCTCAGTTCCGATTAACATATTCCATGATATTAAATCTACTTCGAGTGGAACAGCTACGTGTGGAGGACATGATGAAAAGAAGTTTTTCAGAATTCCACGCCCAGAAAGATGTATCACAACATAAAGAAGCTTTAGCAACACTTAATAAAAGTATAGCTGTAATTAAAGATATACAGTGTTTTACATGCTGTGTTGATTTAGAGAAATACTTTGAAGCTTGTAGTGATTATTTGAAATTAAAGAGAGATTTACAGGTATGTTGAGGATATCTTTTTGTGAATATCTCCATTAAACTTAAAACATAACAGAAATAATCAACCATACTATTCATGTATATCGCCATTTAGCTTAAAACATAACAAGGATAGTCAACCATACTTTTAGAGTATATCTCCATTTGGCTTAAAACTTAAAACATAACAAGGATAATAAACCATACTGTTAGCTTAAACAGGAATAGTATAAAATTTGAAATATTAGTTATGTGACATAACTTGTGTCTGTCAAGGCATAACTACTAGAAGCAGTATCATGTCTAGGACTAAATGGGTTGGGGATTTATTTCAGAAGGGTACAAAATGTGACGATAGAAAAGGGCACTCGAGGTACATTTGGTCCTTAAAGTCTTCATCTGGATATGGAGACTGGTGACCCAAGCTGTATTACACAGTGTCCGGATAAAACCAGACTTTTATTTTATAAAATAATGTGTAGGTGAAATTTACCGTTCGTTATCAAGTACAGCACATGGGTCATGCACTGTATATATAGACCTCTAAAAGAACAGCAATAGATTATCAGGTCACCCATTGAAAAAATTGACCCCGAAATCTTAAAAGGGTTACGTGTCCGGATAAGCGGATGTTGAAGTTCACGTCCAAACGAGCTGACATTTTCAGACATTCCTCTATACTTCATATGTACATTGACTTTTATTTCTGAGACTCTGTTAAAATGGAGATAGTTCCTTTAAGTGTAGTCAGTGTTGTGTGGTAATCTTGTTATACTGGTATAGTGCAATATCAATTTATGAATATGTTTCCTTTAATACATTTGCTGTGAACCAGTATTTTTCTGGACTTAAATACGAAAATAAGTCACAGCACTCGATCTGTCAACCAAACTCTTTTTCACATACAGGGGTAATATCAGTTAATGGTCGACAGACGCTGTTATGTAGTACATGTATTAAGGCCACTCAGCTATCATACTCCTTGCAGTGTTTCGTTTGATTAGACTTAATCCCACTCAAACACTGCTATAATGAAAGCCAATTTCTGTTCCAGTGCAATTAACAACCAATACCTAACTGCGTAACAATATCATTCGGTTTTAAACAGAGCTCCAGATATGTTTGCATAACGTTATGTCATGACTCACAAAATTTATTATGCCCAAGTAACCAGTGCATAGCAGAATATTGCAGAAAAACTAATTGCGTGACAAACAAGGCTATCAAGACGGCTACAATGTAAACAAAACTGCTTGGAGACAAACAATATTCTAATACCTAAAATCACTGTCCAAGTTTTAGGGAAGACCCCAGATTTAACGGAGGGCTGTCATGTTGCTGTACTTAGGAGAGATTTGATTGAACGGGAAGAATATACACACTCCCTCAAAAGCTCAAGTATCAGAAGTCAATCCAGCAATGGCCAGAGCGGGATTTCTCGGGCCATTGCTTCAGGAATATGCTCAACTATTGGTATTTATAAATGTTTTGTAAATTTTGCTATATATTCAGTACAGTTTCTCCAATTAAATTACTTACAGTCTATCATTTTTTTTTCATTTTTTTACAGTTGTTAATTCTGACTCATCCTATAGCCATTAAATCGCTAAGCCCTGGTAGAATAATAATAATAAACAATTCACAATTAAGATTTGCACTTGGGGTTATACTTAATACGTATACCGGAACTCATAATGAACGACTGTTCACGGTGCTGGTGCTAAGTGAGAAAGGAGTAGACTATACATCAGAGGATATTAAGTCTGTTAATAATAGTATTAAAGTAACACCAGTGTTAACGAAAAAGTTGTATGAGCCGGAGGGACCTAGCTGGCATTCTCTAGCTACTATACGAGGAGATGATATAGATGTTATAACAGTTAAAACAATTAAAGTTGAACCAGACAAGATTATAAGTGATGTTAAAAAAAGACAACAAGATCGATTTAAGTAAGTTAGAGTATATATTATTTATTTATTATCAAGATAGAGAAATGACAGAAATTCCTAAAATTTCAATTTTATCTAATTTTTAAAAATGAAATGAAGTGAATAAGATTTTCACTGATTATTCCGTTGAAATCAAAAGGTTGTTATATGAGCTGCGAGAGGATATCAGTTTTGAAACGAACAATACATAAAAATTGACTGTCAAGAGATACGAGAATGCAAGAAAGAAAAAGTCTGTTTCTTTGTAATTATCTATTTAAACATTTTAAGCGTTGATTATAGTTTGTCCTTTAAAACGTTGTTTACACCAACTCGTCATCACATTCCAACTGTTACGGGTTCTTTTACATGCACACCAATGTGTACACAGTATTTTGTAGTTTTGTTCCATCTGAAGGTCTAGACCAATCGATAGGATCTGAGAAATGAGGAAAAACAGTTTAGGGTCCACAATTTCGGCTTTATAAAATGAGGTCTGTCTAGTGAACGTAACAGATCTAATTTTGTTTTAGCCTTAAACAGGCATGATGCAAGAGCTAAATCTGCCTATTTCAGGTCTTTCTTTAGTCCCGAAATGTTATATAAATTATTAATTAGACATTAATTAACTTACCAAGACTATAAGCAACTCTCATTGCCATCGGATGTCTGCGATATTAAGTAGATTCAACCACGCTCTGTGGTTGATGTGGTTACCGTAAAAATGGATAGTGACAATCAAGGCTAGACTATAATTGTATCGCTGATATCTAAGCTCAGGATGAAGTAATTTGACTGAAATTTTCAACATATTCTATTTTCATTATTTAATTATTAACTATTATAGCAAGAACTGTCTGCTTTTTATCTAATCTTACCTAATGCCGCTTTAATATGTTACCTTTGTCGTCTATAGAGAGGATGCTATTCCTATTGACTCCTATTATGTCGTCTATAGGGAGTACGCTATTCCTATTGACTCCTATTATGTCGTTTATAGAGTGTATGCTATTCCTATTGACACCTATTATGTCGTCTATAGAGAGTATGCTATTCCTATTGACTCCTATTAGGACTGTTTTTGACACATTTGGTAGTTTAATGTTTTTACACTGAAGCCAACTTACACAAATGTGTACCCTATTGGGGACTGCCTGTATAAAGTTTTATTTCTGCAGCTGAAAGTGTCCAAATATTTGTTGTTCTTTCATCCATCTAGATTTATTTCATGTTCAACAACTCCTAGGGGGGTTGATTGGCTGAATGGTTAGCATGCGCGCGCTGTATCATAAAGTCTGTCATTGAGTCGACTGGCGTGGTTTCGAATCCCAAGGAGTGGGGTCGCCTGTCCAACCTCGTGGGTTTTCTCCGGGTCCTCCGGTTTCCTCCCACTGCTAAAGACCCCTATGCGCAAGCGAATTATTGAAATAAAATTAAACCATATGTTAGTCCCGAAATGACCTAGTTTGTGTCGAGTGGATGTAAAACCCCATTTCTCTCTCTCTCTCTCAACAACTCCTACTTGTCTTTTTTTGCTCTGAAATGAAAAATTGTTTGGGAGACATTCTTCAATTTTTTTTATTATAAATGTATTTTATATCATTATCAGTGTACGTACGTGTATTTTTCTGTTGCAGAGATAATCCTCCGAGTAAATCTGTATCAGTCGTAGCTCAGGAATTAATACGTTTAACGCAAGCTAATCCTCAAGGATTAAAAGGTTTAGATCCTGTGAAAGATTTCCGTATAAAAGATATAGATTATATGGAACAGTTCCGTTCTCTACAGTTCCTGGAGGAGAGTTTCGGTGAATATAATTGTGTCCATTGTCCAGTCTTTCATGAACATGTAAGTGATTTCTGAATATCTTTTAGTAATGATTTGTTCTATTACTGGGTTTCACAAACTAAGTACAATGTTGTTGGTGTAGCCATTTTCATTAGTCCAATTAGTGCAAAAAAATATGGTGAAATATACCCAATTTGTTTCATTTGTTTGGCTTTGGCTTTCAGTCATAATGAAACATAGTCATAATGTTATTCCTATAGTAGTTAGTGTATGAGAAACACAATACACGCTAAAACAAACAGACAAGACAGGCTACATAGACATTGCAAGAAATCAACAACAAATTATCACATCAACTGAATGGATCCAGTAGACATGGTACAAGGGTTAATCAGCGAACTGGATGTATGAGATGTGTTGTTGACGTTTGGGAAAGTAGGACGAGGGGAAATGTGTAGGGAGTGAAGTGCTGTAAAGGGATAGTTAGATGTATTATGAATGGTTAGAGTGGCTGTGGTGTTACGGTGAAATACTATGCCGCCACCGTAACACCACAGCTTTATGATTTGTTAGACAGGAGTGATGTAATGGGTGTCAACAACTGGGTATGCTGGTACCGTCGCAACGTAGCCGTGAAATATATATTGTGGGGGGGAAGGGCGGAAACGGAAATATATACAATGTTGACAGTATGTGCCAGGCATGAGGCTGCGCAGACCGAGCGGCAGCTCGATAGGGAGGATGTGGGAGGGTCACCCTCATAAATTTTTTTTTTTTTAAATTTCAGTTTTCTGTTAGCAGTGAAAACACTATTTTGGCATTGTTTGCGGGGTTAAACCTAAAAATCACATTAATACACCTATTGCACGATATTGTGAAACTAGCTGACGAAGACAGCTCGGGCGGCGATTGTTCGACTCGGGGCTGCTCTGTCAGTATGTAACAAACGCATTTAGTTGGCGTACAACTTTTAAAAACCGAATGTCAGTATGGTATTTCTCACATAATTGGTTATCGCAAAAACAGAGTAAACTGAAAGCGAGTAATCTCGACTCAAACCTATAGTTTACTTACTACACTCGTCACTAAGGCTTCCTATATTATTGTTTGTGGACGGTTTACTACTCAGTGATAAGCCTGCGCCGCAAAAAGAGGTCTCGCCTTTTATTATTAGTATAATGACTTCCTCATGTGCGGCAGGTTAGTTTGCTTCTAAAAACAGTGTTTTCCGTTCCAAAAAATACAAAAGTAATTTTCTACCAGATGACCATGGTTCTTTTCACCGATACTAGATAATTTCTCTCTGTGTAAGGATATAGCTATGGATAAGTTCATACAAGGTCAATAAATCCGCGGTCACTTCGGGTCCCACTGTTGAGAAAATAAACCGATGGGTTTGTTTAGTAGCAAATCGAGCGTGAATCAACTGAGTTTGTACTGAAAAATTTTTGAGTGATATGTATGAACTGTCTTCACACATTCGGTTTATAATTAGCGATACACAGGTACAGTGGCAAATGTTGTACTTCACAGACTGTTTACCTCCGAACTACCTCCGCACGAAATCCCCGATTTGGGTACTTGTAAAAGAAAAAGAAATAGTACCTGTGCGCGTGCCAGTAAAAAAAAAACCTAAGAGTTCGCGCATAAAAATGCCCGAACGTACCAGGCGCCAGGCCATCCAGGGGCCAACTGTAAGCGTACACTCATACTCCTCGCAGTGTTTCGTTTGATTAGAGCTAATCCCACTACTCACTGCTGTAAAGAAAGCAAATTCTTGTTCTAAATTATGACTGGTCAATAGTCCGATTAACAACCAATAGCTAACTGCGTAACAATGCCAAACAGAGCTCCAAATTGGACCAAATATGTTTACATAACGTTACGTCATGACTCACGATTTTATTATGCCCAATTAACCAGTGCATAGCAAAATATTGCAGAAAAACTAATTGTGTGACAAACAAGGCTATCAAATGTCAACACAGATATAATGTAAACAATATTGTTTTGAGACGAACAACACTCTCACCGTTTTTAATACCTTAAATCACTGTCCAAAGTTTTAGGGAAGGCCCCTGATTAAAAGAAGGGCTGTCAAGTTGCTGTGTTTGGGGATAGATTTGATTGAACGGGAAGAATAGACACACTCCCTCAAAAGCGCAAGTATCAGAAGCTAATCCAGCAACAGTTCATTTTTACATTTTATATAGCATAGCCGGATACATGTAGACAAGCATAGCACAGATTACAATACTAGCTAAAACCATTTATCCACCCTAGCCAGCCTCGCAGATGTCTAGGAACTCAGATGGAACCTCTCTGGAATCTAATGGAAGTCTGACTTAAAAGTTTAGTATGATTTCTTTTATAAGACTCATGCCTATTACGCACAGAAAGCCTGTTCATGGCCCTGAACCTGTGCAATTTGTGATATGATTGGTTGGTTAAATTAAGCCAAATGATGCAATTAGAATAATTCCACTCACGTGTAATCTCGTGGTATTTTATTGACACACAGAAACAGTTATGTTTTGGCTATATAACTCTCTCTATGTGTCAACCTGTCACTTATACCCTAAGTTGATTTAGTACAATTCTACATATATGTGAATTTAATAACTTGCCAAATATATTATTTAATGAAATATACAGCTATCTTATTTCTCTATTCTTTGTCTATAAATTTAAAACCAATGTCGCCACGACTATATTGCTACATTTCTTCCCCCTTTAAGAATATATGTATAAAATGTAGATATTCTAACTAATTTTTCACGCATCAGGCAAATATAAACGATTACTATACTATAAAACTAAGCTGTGAAAGAAAAACCCAAATAATCAAAAATCAAAAGTCGCATGCAAAAGCTCTCCAAAAAGTTAATCACTGTAAAATCCTATGACAATTCACTAAGCCTAAACCTAAACACAGAAAACACCAATTGTCTTTTTTTAAATCTTCAAGTGTCCTAATTTCAAAACACTATAACTCATTACGTAATATTTTATAAAGTTCAGGTTTCACTTTAAATTCTGTCTTGGGATATCTCAATTTGGTAAACTGGTAAACCATTTCCTCTTCTTGGATTTCCATTGGTCTGTTTCAGCTACCATAGTATAAAGTTGAAACTTTCTTTTTTCTTCTAAGTATGATTGGTTTGTACAATTTTATCCGTCAATCAAACATGTCATTGCCATCAGACCAAGAACTAACTATTCCTATTTTTTTAAAACTTTATTTTGATATTAGTCTAACATTATTATTAGTAACTCTTACTTTTAATTAAAATTAAACTTTATTTAATCATTAATAAACTTTGATGTGTCTCTTTAATTATAAATTTTCAAACTAACTTTGTCCTAACTCGATCATTAATGTGACCTTTTTGACCTAATCATTTAGAATTTCGTATTTCGTTCTTTTATAAACACTATCCACTATTACATAATCATTCCCTTTATTATTAAATTAGCCAGGATGACACACAGATATGGCCACTATCTGAATGACATCCCTTTTTATTCTACAGTAGGACGCTAAACCCCATTTTATTTAATTTATCTATAACTATGTTGAGAGAAAATGGCTGTACACTCCATTCAATCAGAACACAGTCTATATTTATATAAACATTACATTCCTAGCTTTCAATTACTTTATGATTTAATATCATTCAACTCATCACTGAAGTCACGTGACTTTCACACACGTCAAATTTAAAGCAACATTTAATAAATGAATACAATATAACAATTAGAAAAAATATATTAAACCTTTATATTACGTTTCTAAAGCAAAAATTTAATTACATAAAATTATATTCGGACAAAATCTACCGTATACCTCCACTTTTCTAAAAAAAAAGTGTCGTATTCTTACTTTAACCTCGTATTAAACTCGTACGAATGACTTTGTGATAATCTCACAATTTAACGAGCCAATAATTTTAGTTCTTCCCCAGGAAAACCATAACCAACACCCCTAGATTTACCATATGGGATCTTAACATAACCTAACTTTTTATTCAAAAGTTAAATTACTTAATTTTGAAACCTTGGACTAGAGCTTCAAAATTACACTATATACGAAACAACAAAAAACACAAATTAACGAATCACAGTAGAAAGTACGGCCATCTTGGAAACTAGAGATAATCACTCACAAACATCATCCTTAGATCTGCCGTCTTCCGACTGCGATCTGGAGACAACATTAGTTCCTTACTTTATTCCCTATTCCGTTTCCTTATTATTATTATTTGTCCTTAGTTATATCAAAACAATTTTTTTTTTTGAACCTACTCCCTAGAGACCCTCACTTTAACTTTAATTTTACTCAAATTTACTACAGGTCATGTTGACCTGATCATATACATACCTATAGCTAGTCACATTATATTGTTTACTAAACCTGTCTATCAAAACTTATGAATGACTATAATGTATTTCCTACAGTTAAATTTTAAATATTTAGTTTCTAATCAGATTTTAACTTTAAATTAATATTATTTGGTCTGCAAACAAATTTAACACATTTAATTTACCAAACAAAATGTATTTACCAACTTTTGCGACTATCTCCACCAAAAATTTTCCTCTGTTGCTGGATTGTACAGATCTTTTTTTCTTCTTAATGTATTCTTCTTCTAAAGTGACTTCTTACCCCAAAGGTCGAAACTTCAGCACGGCACCAAATCGAATATGTAAGACTATGCAGTGCTATGCAGTCACTGGTTAGATGTGGAAAATATGTCGGGAGAACTCCCCACATCCAACGTGTGATGCATACTCTCTTTTCTTCTAATCTTCTTCCAGGTTACTCGATCTCGTAGTCACGTGCACCAAATCGAATATGTATCACCATAGGCCTTCTGTCAGACGTGGAGACCGGGGATTCCAAAATCCGGTCGCCACATCCTACGTACGACCCATGCATCTTTTCTTACTACATATTTCTGTAGCCTTGTGATCGTCTAGAATTTGCCTCTAGCTGTCTTTACTTCTGCTTCACGTTGTGTATTTAATTCTTACAGTTTTCTTAAGACGTTTGTCTTCCTCGGTTATAACAATGCAACAGTTCGTTTTTACATGTTATATAGCATAGCCGAATACATGTATACAAGCATAGCACAGATTACAATACTAGCTTAAACCATTTCTCCACCCTAGCCAGCCTCACGGCTATATAACTCTCTCTATGTGTCAACCTGTCACTTATACCCTAAGTTGATTTAGTACAATTCTACATATATGTGAATTTAATAACTTGCCAAATATATTATTTAATGAAATATACAGCTATCTTATTTCTCTATTCTTTGTCTATAAATTTAAAAACAATGTTGCCACGACTATATTGCTACAGATGTCATATGTTCTAAAACAAAAATCACATAGCAACCATGCCATATTTGTTATTTTTTCGTTCAATATTTCTTTCGGTGTTATAAATTAGAACAAAAGAGAATAGTCCAGACATTAGTAATCTAGGTTTTGTATATGATAACTTTTATGGGAATAACTTCTGTTAATCTCACCAGTTAATTAGCAACTTAGTGTAAGTGCTCAGGAGATTAAGATTGTTCATTGGATAATCAGGTTTAGATTCTTGATTATCAAAGAAGCTGCCATATCTGAATTAAAATAAGGTTTTGTGTGTACAATTATAGGACTACTTTTATTTTCAGGTACCATAATGGTATCAGAATCTAAATCTGTAATAGAATTATAGAAATTTGAATTTCATTTGTATGACTAGTAAGAATACAATACTCTTACTAAACGTCCAAATAAAAGTGTTTTAAAATATTTTATTGCTATTTTGACCTTTTGGGTCAATAGATAGTATATTTATAGACTCATTTTTGGGAAAATCTCAATTTCGATCAAAATCAATATTTTCATTTGTTTTGTCTGTAGCTCATTATTAGATTTCGTGCATTTCGACTCATTTTACCTGCACAGGTCACATTTGTGCTAAATTATTGTTTACAATCGTGTCAATTTGTTTTCAGTTTGAACAAATCCGAGGTAATATGGAATTAAAGAATGAATATAAAAGATTGGTACATTTATTATCTGATGATAGTTTGATATTATTACCTGAATATCAACAACGAATGGAGGTAAGCTTTATCATTTACATACTTATCATTTACATTTACATACTTATTTACATTTACATACTTATTTACATTTACCCTTACTTATCATTTACATATTTATCATTTACATACTTATCACTTACATACTTATTACTTACTTACTAATCATTTACATTTACATACTTATCATTTATATTTACATACTTATTTACATTTACATACTTATCACTTACTTACTTATCATTTACATACTTATAATTTACATTTACATACTTATCATTTACATACTTATCACTTACTGGATTTTTTGCACTTTTAATGGCCTCCACTCCACTCACTTATCATTTACATTCTTATCATTTACATTCTTATCATTTACATTCTTATCATTTACATTCTTATCATTTACATTCTTATCATTTACATTCTTATCATTTACTTACTTATCATTTACATTTACATACTTATCACTTACTGGATTTTTTGTACTTTTAATGGCCTCCACTCCAAAGAGATCTTGATAATCAGCTTGTGGGGGAGGTCACGTCAAGAAAATTATAGGTGAACATGACTGAATGATGTTAACTACTTATATCTAACTTTTATTTGATTTTTCGTTCTCTACGGCACTAGTTATCTCCCATAATTCAGTGCAGATCTCACCTACAGCTTCACTTAACAGACCATTTCATTTGTCAATCTCTGATATCAATGAGAAAGTGGCTTATTTTAAAAAAATTTCATTCAGATTGTGTTGTCATGAAGACTAATAAAGCAAAATGATTTAATATCATTGAACATGTAATGTAATTTAATATAACATATACTATTCAAAAAAAGTAGGGGATATTTGATTTTGGGGGCATAATACTAAAATATGCAAATGACTACGAAAAAAGTCACTATAGAACCTAACAGAAGAAACATTTCCAGTTACATGTGACGCCCAAACGCACCAATAGCTACCGCATGGAATGCATGTGATGCTTGGGATCATCATGGGGGTCCAACCCAAGATTTGCACGACTCTGACTTTGAATGTTACAGTCATTGTGGCATTGAATTCCAGGGTGGAAACATCAGTTTAAATGTTTTAGTGACCAGAAAACAAATTTTGATATGCGTCGGCTTACCCAAAATGAAAGGTTACGTGCCCTTGGCATGCTACAGATCGGCACAACACAGGCGGTTATGGCGCGGACGATGAATGTTTCTCAGTCTGTCATAAGCAGGCTATGGTCCAGATACCGTGATACACAATCTGTACAGGACAGACCACGCTCAGGTCGACCAAGGGCGACAACTCAAGCCCAGGATCGATTTATCCGTACCTTGGCCTTGAGAAATCGTGTCATCACAGCAAATCAGATCAGCGCTCGTCTTCAAACAGACACTGGTGTGAGAGTGAGTGGCCAGACGATTCGGAATCGACTGCATAGGGGTCACCTTCGCGCCCGACGTCCTCGCGTGATCCCTTGTTTGAGAGATCATCACATTCAGGCAAGACGTCGATGGTGTAGGGATTGTCAACACTGGGATAATCGACGCTGGAGCAATGTGATGTTTTCAGATGAGTCAAGGTTCACTGTTGATTTTTTGGACAGACGTAGGAGGGTGTGGCGTCGTCGAAACGAGCGCTTCCAAGACGTTAACGTCATCAGACATGATCGGTTTTGGGGTGGTTCTGTTATGGTGTGGGGAGGCATCACTGTTGCTGGAAGAACGGCTTTACATGTTGTTGCAGGGCGTGTTACAGGCCAGTACTACCGGGACAACATCTTGGCAGTCCATGTTGTGCCGTTCGCACGACGTCATGGCCGCCGTTTCATCTTCCAGGATGACAACGCAAGATGTCACAGGGCCAGGATCGTTACAGGTTACCTCCAACAACAGAACATCACCACATTACCTTGGCCAGCACTGAGTCCCGACCTCTCCCCCATCGAGCATGTCTGGGACATGCTTAGACAGAGGTTACGTCAACGTCAACAACGTCCTGCCAATGTCCAAGAACTTGCTGCTGCGTTGCAACAGGAATGGGACAATCTGGACCAAAATGACCTTAGACGTCTCATTAGGAGTATGCCACGTCGGATCAATGCTTGTTTGGCAAACAGAGGAGGATTTACCCGTTACTGACTTGGTTGTGATGCTGTGGTAACTTTGCTGTTTGACCCCTGGTATCATTTTACCCTTATAATGGTCAGTCTGTGCCTTACTTAGTCTAACGATCATTTGGAATAAATCGATGAATGTGAACTTCATTTCATTTTGTCATTTGTTTCTTCGTCAGTTTCATTAGGTGACTTTAATAACACTTAAAAATCAAATATCCCCTACTTTTTTTGAATAGTATATAATGTAATTACACTCACCGGAACTCTGACATCAACTTGCTGCTCACTTGCTGCTCAGTGACACTTATGTTTTGAAAATTTTATGATGGTAATATAACCATGTAGTGCCAATGAATTCTTGATCTTAAGAATCTTGGCTTGTGCCAGTCTATCATTGATTTATAGAAATAAGACTTTTTGTTTTATGTTACAAATACATTTAACTCTCCAGTTTATATGTTTTTATTATTTACTATATTTTGTAGGTATTACGTTCATTGAATTATACAAATGATCAGAATACTGTACAGTTAAAAGGACGAGTTGCTTGTGAAATTAGTACACATGAATTGATTATAACAGAACTAGTGTTTGAGAATGTATTAACTGATCTTCATCCGGCTGATATAGCGGCCATCTTATCTTGTATGGTATTTGAACAAAAACGATGCAGTGAGCCAAATTTAACAACTGAACTAGAAAAGGTAGGAAGCTACAATCAGTACAATCTTTAACTAAATCATCTTGTAGGGTAGCTGACTTTGCCATATCAAATATGAGAAAAATATTTATAATTATTAAAGTTATGATGCATTATTTGCATTTTTTGCTAAAATATCTCACGGCTTAATCCATGGTAATATATACTCAGCTTGATTGTTTAACATTTGATTAAGAAAACATAATTAAAATATCAACACTAGATAACCTCCCGGCTTGGATTCAGTTGGATTAAAAAAGGTCTATCATTTCTGTTCACCCACAACAATATGGTGGCGTGCTTATCACATAGTGAACAGTATAGATCAATGAAATTTCAATTCAACATAACTTTGTAAATGCTGAACTGAATTGAAACATTTTTGGACTGATATTCCTATTAGAGATTCATCCTTCCCAATATTTTAGTTTGATAGGGATTCCAATTGCTTAAAATTCGCATCAAGACTTTAAGCAACAACAGGTATATTGAAAATGGGTGTTAACTCCAGTGAAATGTGGTTTATAAATACATAACAATTTGTCCGACAAAAGCTTAAGGAGGGTTAGAGGGTATGCCCTTTTGCACGCTTCCTCTGGATCTGCAACTGAAGAACACTACTTATGGCCTCTTCTCTGTTTTTTTAACATAAAAAATACCCACACCAACATTGTTACTATAGAAAATATGATATTTTAAGTTCTCTATGGTTCACATAAAGTCATAAAATCAACTACTGATTGATATTATAAATTTTTTATCTTAACAGGGTCGAAACCATATTTTAAAAATAGCTGAGAATATTAGTAAGTTACAGAAGGAGCATGGTATACTAACAGCTGAAGATTATGCTGAAAGGTTTAAATTTGGTTTAATGGAAGTTGTGTTTGAATGGGCTAGAGGACTGGTAATTAAAAATAATATTAATCTTTATTTAAATATACTTATTGATTTTCGACTATTACAAGATAGCTCTTGTTTGAATTTTAAGACATTGTTATATTTTTGAGCAGCAATTTTTTATTCCGGTCTGGATAACCTACCTAAGCTTAGACAGGCTTACTGTTTATTTTATTACCTGGCAAGCTATGCCTAATCAGTCATGTTTAAAATTTACATTAAAGGAGCTAAATCGCTAATATTTTGGACCTAGAAATTGACACAAATGGGTCGCAACGCAACGCATACAATAATGTAATGTGAATGTATATAAATTGGTTTACATTCAATCGTTTCTGTTTTACTGTAATTTCTAATCAGTTAGGTTCGGCGAAATACGCCAGAGTCTCAATCGAATGGCAATCTCTAGCATCTGGTTATTCCAGTCTACGCCAATAGCATTCATTGCGTCACCGTTTGACATGCTTGTGGAATATGTCTAGCCTCGTTTTTCAAATCCCTTATTACAAATAGTGCTGAAACGCATTATGGTACACGAATTTGTAAAAGTTGTAAAATGTTTATTTTGTCTTAAATATTGAATATCAGAAGGCCAACCTTTCCCAGTAAGATCGCAACATCAATGTTGATGTAAACCAACAAATAATTTGTGTTTTCAATGTCGAAGATTTTGGACTATATTGAGTTTGAGACTTAGCTACTTTAAGTTTAAGTTCAGTTTATTACATTTAATATAGTGTTTGTTACTGCAATAGATACACACTACAATTAATAAAACATATTATTTATAATGTACATAAATATACTATACTAATAATGATGAATTCATTTTGGATGGTCCTTTGAAGAGATACCTTTTTGGTGATTTTTTAAAACATTACACAGTATGTTTGTATTATGACATGAAATACCTTTTTCATTTACAGCCTTTTTCTGAGATTACTAAATTAACCGATGTTCAAGAAGGAATTATAGTACGATGTATCCAGCGCCTTCATGAAACTCTACGCGATGTTCGAAATGCAGCTAGAATAATTGGTGATCCAGTCTTATATCAGAAGATGGAAGAAGCATCAAATATTATAAAACGAGATATTGTTTTTGCTGCTAGTTTATATACTCAATAAAATCTCTTTATTATTTTATACTTAAAATTGACTCTATAGATTGAATCTGGGAGATTTAATACATTTCTCCTTTGATTGATTTATATATAAATTTGTCAATTCCGAGAACGCTGTTTAGAGCGCCTCTAGCATTCCAAATTCCAACATAAAAACCTTTAAAATACATGATAATGAAAGAGACAAAAGCCTGATTATTCACAAATGAATAGACAGGGCTGGCGGAAGCAATTCTTGATTGGGGGGGCTTCCATCCTAGGTCCTTATAGGCATGGGTCCAGGGGCCACAATAACCTGGGCAGGGTACCATTTGTATACCCTGGTACCCAAGTTCCGGCGCCCCTGGAACATTGTGAATAACCCCACCCACTACTTTCTAAACATATTAAATAATACAGTGTTAAAGCATCTTTTATACATTTACTCAAAATTATAAAATGTCTCTTTTATTCAATCAGCTATTGAAGATGAATTATATTTGTTATGTCATTTTATTCCTAATGAAAATCTTTCTTCAGTAGTCCAGTTCGTGCAGAATAGTAGAACTTTATAAAGTCCATTTTATTTTATATTGTAATGAAAACCTACTCATTCAATATATATTGTAGAAAAACAAACTTTGTAGAGTAGTGGATATCTTCGGTGGTTGATTGATCAAAGTTAGATATTGTTACAAAAATAAAATACAGTAATATAGAATCCATGCCAACTGAATTATTATGTTTTGTATGGGTTTCAGATGAAGCATATGTCTGTAGAATTTCTTGTTAAATAAACATACTTAATTATAAATAGATAGTTATAACACAGGCCTGTTGGAAAGGATGGTTGATAAAATTGAATTTTGAGCATATAATTGTTAATCTTTTGAACATACATTTTGCAAGAGCTAAATCTGCCTATTGCAGGTCTTTCTTTAGGCCTTAAATGTTATCTAAATTATTAATTAGACATTAATTAACTTATCCAGACCATAATCAACTCTCGATGTCATCATTAGTCTGCGATGGTTACTGGATTTGAATTTGATCTGCTGCTCAACGCTCATTGATCAAAAAATGAATAATCTTAGTTTAGAGTGGATCAATTTGACTGAAATTTTCAGCAAATCACCTTTACATTATCTAGTTTTTAACTATTATTGGGAGAACTGCCAGCTCTTTATCTAATCTCCCATAATGTATTTAAAAGTAATTTGTTGTTGATACACGTATGTGTTTTGTTGTTGCTACATGTATGTTGTTGATGCATGTATGTGTATTGGTGTTGATACCTGTATGTATTTTTTTTTGTATGTGTTTTGTGGTTATTATGTTCGATAAGATATAAAGGTGTTGGTGATTGGCACATAGTGCTAAATTTTGGGCACTCTAATAAATACATTATGCCATAACACTACAGTATAGAGAATGGATGATAGTTTGGCTGGGGGCGTAGTGGGATATGCTTATATTGATATTCAAATACTTATTATTGGTGCTTCTTTAATATAACCTTAATATATTATTTTAAGGCAAGTCCATTTTTGCGACTTAGGATGTCTCAATTAATTATGAATGAATTTGAATTCCATTGGTGTAAAGTACATATAGCAAACACTGGCTTTAAGTACATACCATTTTTATATGGTCATTTTATGTGCCCTTTAATATATTATTACAGATATAGTTAGACCTGAGAATTAGTGGGTCGTTTTATTCTAAACATTGTTGAGGATATATCCTTGAATACAAGCAGATGTAAAACCCATAGCAGCTAAAATATGTTATTTTGTGTTATTACAATTTATTTACAAAATCATGATAGATTAAACTGAAATGTTCTAATTATAAGCTAATTGTATATTTGTTATATTTTTGATGAACTAGTTGTTTCTGTGTGGTAATTTATCAGGGGTTGACTTCAATATTTCTATAATTCTATAGTTATACATGTGTATGCCAGCAGTCTTTGTCTACATTAGGTTTTTATTTATTGTCAATTAAATCTTCTATTACAAAGAGTGATATATTATATTTATATTTGAGCAGTCACAGAACAAAATGACCAGGTGGGAATAATTATAAAAGAACAAAAATAAAAATTATGACTAAAATTGAGGGAAACAAAAAAATGATACATGCCCTTTAAGACAGTTGTTAATCAGTCCCTATGATTGAACAAAACAGGAAAGTTATCAGGGGTACACTAAATTACATATCTGGAAAACATACTTAGATAAAATAAATTCCCCGAAAATTTGTTATATTGCTATAGCTATTTTCACAATTGTTTATATTTAAAAAGATTTCTTTCTGCAGATAATCACAGATGACCAATCAGAACATTTTTCATATATATATCACAAAAGTCAAAATTATATATGATTTTCATGCAAAAACTATCCTTATTATCTAATTAGGAATTTGAATATTGAAAACCTCCAGGACAAATGGACTGGCTTGTAGAATTATTACTAATATTTCTATCGAAGACATACAGAGGAAGAAAATCTAACAGAAATCTAAACATTTATATTTCTCAAAAGAATCTAATGTGTGACTGCCCTGTTGAATATTTTAGATTAACATAGAACACTTTAACTAGAATGACATTTGCTCAAAATTGACTGTGGCTAATTTAAAATTATTATCTAATAGACAATGCAGGAAAACTGATCAATAAGTCATAGACAGAACAAACAACACACCTAAATTGCACAGACAATAAAAAATCTTGAAAAGAAACCCATTGAGCCATAATGAAAAGCTTTAATATCTAATCAGGATTGGTTATAATGACTTTATTCATTAAATATATTATTTAATATATTGTAAATAAAAATAATGTACATTTATAGATATATATATATATGTAAATGAAATCATGAAGTTTGCTTTATTGAAAATAAAATTGATTTATCAGAAATATTGCCCATTATTTCATTACAGAAAAGCACCCTGTGTGCAAGTAGGGGTCAGGGGGCGGGGTTCAAAATAATGAGTCGCTTGGACGTAAACACCAAAACTGCTTTTAATAACGGAACCATTTTAATAATAAATATGAAGTGCATCAGTTGTGTTATGATTTCTATTAGTAAAATTGGTCATATGTTGTTATCGCAACCCGAACCTAGCCATCCTCAAATTTATAAAAATCTATGTTAGTATAAAATGACAAGATGTGAGGACACAGACAGTGTTGACGATCAGACGTTATTTAAACACAGTCTTTTCATTTCTGTTTGTTAATTGTTATGTCGTATTGCAATAATACTATTGTACTGATATCAATATCACAAGATTTCTACCATATTATAAGCAAACCAGTTTTGAATAGGGTTATTGACAATATTGAGTGAAAGGCAAGCCGTTTGCCACTTCATTAGCCGCGAGAGAAAATGTATTTGTATACATACAGTGTATATAGGCCTAGCGGGTGAGACTAGAATTCAATAGTTTGACCTAACCTAGTGGGTAAACCTATAGGGTGTTCGTATGTGCATTCGGATTCCACCTAACCAAGCGTTACCGCATAGCAGGTGACTCAAAACGATATAGTAATGTGTGTATAGCAAGGGTTTTCTATAATGACACAAGTAATATTACATTGTGATGACATTTAAGTATTGGTAGTATAAACTATGGAACCGTCGATGTTATATTTACTCACTTTATTTATAATAACTGGACAGAATGGTTAGTAGATTTTTTTTGTGTATCTTTTTAACATTTAGATGACAAGAGTATAAAGAAATGTTTGATGGGCGTGACGACGTTTATTTTGAAGGTATCACTATCAAAGTATATAATGTTAACCAAATCATTTACATGGTTGTTGGTTGGTTTGTTAACTTCAATAGTACACATAATATCTTATAAGGGCGTCTCGAACAAAGTAAGAATTGAAGGTATTTCTAAAGAGTGTATAAGCATACACTGCCCCAAACACTAAAGTTTTAACAGAGTAATTTTAGTAATATAAGTCTGAAAACCAAGGAGACGAACACCAGTTATAAGTATATTTTAACACCTGTGATATACAGAATCAATATATAAGTACTGACATGGGTCGTACATTTCAAATGTTAACATGGCCCAACAGTAAACTAACATAGTTAATTCTCTATTGAATTATTATTTCATATTCTCAATTTATTGGTGACAACAGTAAACGAATATTATGGTTCTAATTTAGAAATCTGGATAAAGTCTCAAGTAAATTAGCATCGGGTTGGGTTTTTTTCTGAAGAGTAAGCTTAAAACTATTATAAATTAATTGTATGTAAAGGCAATCCAAGTTATTTAATTAATTTAGCTCATACATATAATAGTATCAATCATCATTTCCTGATCTACGCCAAACAGAGGATATACATCATTTCTGACGTATATATAAAATGTCGATTTCAATATAGATGAAATAAATTAATGTTTCATTATTCATATAACCCATTGAAGTATTCACGTATACTCGCGATATTTGAGAGAATTAAGATACTTTGATACTTGGATGGAGTTTTACTATAATCAAATAACTAAAATGTGTAATTCTAGGTATAGAGTGTGCTCTTTAGAAATATATGTCTACCACTGCTCTGGTAAAAATTACTATATTGAATCGCAGATTGGTATAATTGTAGATAAATTATAATATTTGATTACATAAGCCTTGTACAAAACAACCTTTGTTTGTTCGAAACCTTCTCATTTTCAACCAAATCTGACCTTTAAATGAAATATATTGAATAAAAGTGTCATAAACTAGAATGATAATGTTATTTTTAGTCTTATTATTAAGAAGTTATTGGCTTTATTCGGTGTCAGGTTTATCCACTAGAAAACCTTTTATGGAACAAACGCGATCAACAAAGGAGTGTCTGTTTGAATTCAATAGTGTGACAGAAAAATAAAGATAAAAAAAGGATTATAAAAAGTTTCATTAATATCAAACTTTGAATACAGTAATCCGAATATGAATTTCTGCTTTTATATTATAGATATACCAAGTATACATTCATACAGGAAAACAGACGTTGGTCATTTTATAATCAATTTGTTTCTAAACAGATGAAAACACCCTTTAACTAAAATGGCACTAATAACATCTTAGCGCATGTTTTGTTCGAAAAAAATGATACTGAGTCACATAGGCGTACGGGCTCGATGACAGTTAGAGGGGCAGAACCCGAAATGCCCGAAAAAATTTTGGGTTTACAGACAGCGGCGCCGGTCTTCGAATTCCAATCAAAAGATCAATCGTTTACAGTCCACGAAGACGGAACTTCAATTTGATCCAATATAGTCCACCTGGCTGACCCGAATTCCAAACAACCAATCAATCGTCGCAGGGTATGGGGGCCTCACACTCACGGAGAAAATTTTGAAAATTTAACCACCGCATAGGCGTTTTCTGCTATTCTAGCCCGTGTAAGCAACTCCAAAAGTATCCAATGGTTTTGTAATTAAAATCCCATTCTGAATTCCAACCATCCAATAAGACTGAGAGAGAGAGAGAGAGAGAGAGAGAGAGATGGGGTTTAACGTCCACTCGACACAAACTAGGTCATTTCGGGACTAACATATGGTTTGATTTTATTTACATAATTCGCTTGCGCGTAGGGGTCTTTAGCAGTGGGAGGACCCGGAGAAAACCCACGAGGTTGGACAGGCGACCCTACTCCTTGCCACGTACAACCGGGGATTCGAAACCACGCCAGTCGACTCAATGACAGACTTTATGATACAGCGCGTGCACGCTAACCATTCAATTTGACAATGAATCTCTCCCACGTCTATGGCGTTATTGCGTGTCGCATGTGCAGCTCAATGGTTCTATTGGGGCGATAAGTTCTTCATCTGTGAACATACTCTCAAAGCATATCAAGTGATATATGACTATTTATCATATGACAACCTGCATAGGTATTTGCATTTGGATATGCAGCGGCATTAAAAAGTAAAGTTTTACCAAGCTCTACGAAAATCATCATTTAAACCAACGTGAACTCATTCCTCCCTCCCTTTCCAAACAAGCACACCTGCAACCCCACACCCCACCTCCCCACAAATCAAAACTGCAGTTGTCCAATGGCATCATATACACTTATTTAGAGATGGGAAGTCCTTGAAATTTATGTTTTATTAATATATAACATGATCATTTATGTCAACATAATAACATTTCCCTCTATTGTAGACATTGGACCCCCCATATCTAGGAAATGCCCCCTCAAACGCCTGATCACCATCCAGATTCGGAATCTACGCAAAAAAACTGGTCTAGAAAAACTAGGTCTCATAAGTTCACAGCTCGGGTGGCGATCCCCATCCCACCCCCTTCAGCTACCGGACTTGAAGGGTCGAAAAACATGTGTATGCCATTGGTAGCACGTTAAAGTTGGAGTATGCCCATCTTAATTATCCCGGTTGGTGCAAAAAAGTTCGACGTTAAAACCCCATTCGTTTATTTTCTGAAGAGAAAAACCCCCCAAAAAACAAGTAAAAACAAGTAAAGGTCAATTTCCTTGAAAAGGAACAGAAGGGATCGACCGCGAAAAAGAGGTCATTTTTCTGTTTCGAGTGAATAGAAAATTTGAATGTTATCAATCTCTGTTTTACATGCTTTAATTTGTTTGTATCAACTGTGTATATTATTAGTACCATTAATATGTTAATACTTCCCAATTAATGTTATAGAGAATAATAATTTACGTCAAATTAAAAATAATATGCTCCACGTGGCGAAATAGAAACATGTGTTGAAGTGTATAAGCAACTGTAGTGATAACGAGAGGGTCATTTCGGAATTAACATAACATTATTATGTATATTTTACATAACGTAAACTGGTCCGGGTAGAATCATACATTTTACTCATTTTTATATACCCATTTACACTAAATAGGACATATTTTTTTTATCTAGATAGACATGAAGCAGCTTTATTTAGTTTTCTAATACTTCAGGAAAATATTCTAGAATTTAATTTTCAGAAGGAAAAATGTTGATATTATTATTGTGAGCTAATTAACCCGCACCGATGTCCTTTCAGTGATATTAGCGGCCTAGCGAATATTAATTGCTGATCACTGTGCGTATAAACGTGTTAGACAACCCACCCAACCTCCACCCTCGGGATAATTGCAGTGGTTTAATATCTGCTTCCACATTAGGAAAATGAAATGAAATGAAATGGGATTTAACGTCCTACTGTTCTGCTCCGACTGGGCTAATGAAGACCGGCATATGCCATACAGTGTGCTGTGAGGTAAATTTTGCTCGGGCAGCAGCACTATGGCCTACTCTTATATCGAATTCCAACTGCCAAGTGATCTTTTACGTGCACCCGAACGACTAGACAGCTGAACTTTCTCGACTAATGCTCTATAAGTCAATACAGATTTTCGGATAGCGAATTATTGGATGCCGTAGTCTAGCTGTTCGTTGATAGCCCGAATATGGTTTATTTGACAAAACGGTATCTTCAATAGAGTACGGCAAATCGCCCCATTTTTGTAATTGTAACGTTTGAATATCACCGAAATTCACTAGCTATAGATATGGGAGTTGATAAGATTATCTATATATATCTTTATTTTTATTTTTCAGTGGTACATTCAGAAATCATGATAGCAATTGCTGAGCCCGGAAGAGCTGATATCCGGACAGCCCCCTTGTCAAATGTATCCCTTGCAACTTATATAGAGATAGACGATGCTGTTACGAGCATAGAGTTCGACAATGTAGACGGTCGATTTTATCTGGGAACTGGTATAAATATATTTTCAACAGGAATAAATGGAAAAGAGAAGACTGAGCACAAACTCGGTAAGTAACGTTCCTGATAGTTTGTGATGACCATACTTCTGGCAGTGTTTCGTTTGCTACTAGAAGACGTTACAAAGAAAACGGGACCCAAGACTTGCGAAAGAAAACGGTTAGGAATAAAGACTACAATATTGTACAGTAAACGAAATTTGCAGTAATGAAAGATTTAGGTCCAGAAACAGATACTTACCAAATTTCTACATTTGACTTGTCTGTAACGCACGTGATCATGATGATCATCATGGCACTGAGGTATCCCCGTGATTGTACGATTAGAGTACTGTTCCGATATGCATGGCCAGGGAAAAACCATCTGGATTTGTAAGGGTTCATTCACTTTTTGCAGTGGTAATACCGGTGTTAATACTGCCGGGACGGATTTTCGGAAAGGGACCAGTTGTTCAGATAGTTTTTATTGTAGAAGATCACTTGGCGATCGGAATTCGAAGATATATTAATCATAAGGTACATTGCAGTAAATATTTTTAATGTGCAGATTTGACGAGATGCTACATGTATTTCATATTGACTTGACTGTTTAATTGCGGTAATAAGGACCACATCTTTATATCGTGTCTATTCAACCATTTTCAAAAGTATAATTTTCGAGCCGAGTGGGCTGTCACTTCCTTAGATGCCTTCTTTTCTTTGCTTTGGCATGAGGATGGCGGGATAAGGGACGACGGGGGGGGGGGGGGGCTGTAAGGGGCAGGAGGGGGGGGTGTAAGAGAAAGTATACGCCAAGTGTAGTAATGCGCGAAATATTTGCTTATTCATTATTCAAGCCTATCGAGACGAAATCCACGTGGGTTGCTGTGAGCATAACGATCTGAAAATTGGGTTCCGGTGGGTTGTCCCCGGAACAATTATTAAACTAATGAAAACATATATGTATTTACAAAGTATTGGGCCCTGTTAATAATAAATCGACTTTTATATTCATGCTTACTTTGACGAGGGTACGAAATATAAAGGTATAAAGGTGGTATAATATATTAGAACACATTTAAGTGGAGCACAGATTCATATTTAATGATCAAATAGGGGCAGTTTATTTTGATGCGAAATGTCTTATGATTGATTGAATTCCCGAATTTCCCTAAAACCCAGTTTATGAAATTTTGATCAAAAGGTCTTACACTGTACAGACATATAAAAATAATTATAAATGCACAAATATACATATCAAATTTTACGGTAACACCAACGCCTATTTAAATATTTTCTTTGGTAATTCCACAAATTCTCTAATCTCTATGTACATTTTCTGTAGGGGTCTGTACCGTCCCCATCTAGGCCCTTAGGTTAAGGTCAGCTATACTAAAACGATACATTTATTTCATTAATTTTGTTGTGACTTTTAATTTACTTTGATTATTTATTTCCCGTGTATGTTGATTATTTTGTAGAAGTAACCAGTATGTCCATTGACAATCAATATGGTCTTCTATTTTATACCAGTAATAACAATATAGGAGTTATGTCCCTTTACGAACATTTTCATAAAATCATTATCAATGACAGCGACATTAAAGTGGGAGAAATAGCAGTAGACACTGATAATAAGTAAGTAATAAACTATCATCATTATCATCATCATCATTATCGTCATCTTTATCATTACCATCATCATCATCCATCTAAGATCAAATAAAAATTAAACAAAAATAAGGACTGAAAGTGTTATTTATATATTTAAAAAATATATATATTATACGTTACATAATCTATTGCCCTCGATGTTAGCGGATATAAATCAAATACATTCTAAACAACCTCAAATGGCCATGATTGGCCGAAATGAATAATTTTGAGATTTTTTGATTACGGGCTGAAACCTGTATACGTTAACTTTTATTCTTCCTGATTGATTCTTAACCTTTCAGACATATATATTGGATAAACAAGGCAGACAATGCAATAGAAAGAAATGTGTATAATGGATCATCTCGAGAAATAGTTGTGGAAACGAAAGCAAAGGGATTAGTTATAGATACCAAAGGTAGATATCCAATTTCAATGATTTATAATTGATTGTCTTTATGATTTTGGGTTAACGTCCTGCATTTCTGCACCGATTGAACTGCATACGCCATTATAATGTGCTATGAGGAGATGTCTCTATTTACAGATCGCCTTTTAAATATTTTGAACATCATATCATACGTCTCTTCCCATTTTATACTTTAACTTTATAATATCGTATTACACTCTCATAATTTCCGAAAATCGACCAAGCTTAAATTGTCCTACTTACAGAAAGGTATTTTATACGAGAGGCAGAGAAATGAAATAAAATAGGGTTTAACGTCCTACTGTTCTGCTCCGACTGAGATAATGAAGGCGGGCATACTCATACAGTGTGCTATGAGGTAAATTTTGCCCGGGCAGTGACACTATGGGCTACTGTTATATCGAATTCTAACTGCCAAGGGATCTTTTACGTGCACGCCAATGTATACACTGGGCCTCGGATTTTCGTCCCATCCGGACCACTAGACAGCTGTCCTTGTCAGGCCCGCGAGGTTAGGCAGGCAAAACTATTCTTTGGGTTCGAGACCACACCATTTGACTCAATGACAGACCCTCTGTTCTAAAGCGCACGCGTTACTTTACTTGACCACCCAATCCTCTTTATTTATATAGGGGAGTTCGTATAAGAAGAACTACAATAAATTGTACGACTGGACAGATTTGTCAACTGTATAGTCGAATCACATGGAATCGAAGCATATTTTGTTTACTAACGTGTCGAATGTTTAACGGGTCGAATGTTTAACGCGTGCGCGTGCATCATTATCTTTGTCATTGAGTCAAGTGGCGTGGTTTCGAATCCCCGGTTAAAAACCTCGTAGGATTTCTCCGGGTACGTCGGTTTTCTCCCTCTTCTACAGACCCCTACGCGCAAGTCAATTAATGAAATAAAACTGAACCATATGCTTGCTCTCTCTTGTATTGTTTTTTTCCTACAGAAGATATATTATATTATGGTATGGACGGTATGTTAAAGAGTGTTAATTTAAATGGTAAAGATGAAAAGATATATTATAACAATACTGATGGTCAGACGATATCATCTCTACAACTATACGATGGTATAATGTACATGATACTTACAGATGGAACAAATTCTACGTAAGCACATTATTGTCTATTAATTAATGTAATGTACATTATTTGGTTTAGAAAATAAATAGAGGGCTACGGTGGCTAAGTGGGTATGCTGCCGCCACTAACCAGGCGATCCCTGGTTCGATCACTGTGATTGCCGAGATAATTCCTCGGGTTTTCCGGCGTGATTTCCTCTCTAGCCAGGAACGGTGTCTACATCTTGCGGATGGGACGAAATACCGGGGCCCCGTGTACACAATGGCATGCACGTAAAAGATCCTTTGGCAGACGGAATTCGATATAAGAGTAGGCCGAAGCACCGATGTCCGGGCATGAAGGAATTCCATTCCTATTCGTAAGGATTTTCCACTGTTGTTCGAAAATACATTGATCTTTTGTGCATGTTCCGGTATTGAGTATTTCGTCAAGCTGTGTTTTATACCCCCACATTTTCATATGGACGTATACTGTCGTCGCCCCTGTCCATCCGTCCATCCACATCCACAGTTTGTTTGTGGACACTCTACAGGTCACAATTTCTTATCCGATTTTGACGAAACTTGAAATATAGGTATATCTCCCAAAGATCTCAGTTCCTTTTGATATTGGATCGAAATTTCATGGATTATAACTCATCTAGAGATCGCAATTGTTACCCGATTTAAATGGAACTTGAAATGTATGTTTATAACTTAAAGATCTTAGTTCCTTGCGATTTTCGAGCATATCGGAGCGCAACTTCCTAAATTATGGCCCCTGATTGTACGAAAAATCGCGTTTTTTGGCTTGTGGTCCCCCAAGAGGTCACAATTTTAATCTGATTTAAAAACTTGTTACACCATGATGACGGTTTAGTTCGAATATTGTGAAAATCGGACCAAAACTGCAGGACAAAATGGCCGCTCTATGTACGCAAGTATGTACTATCAAGGTTGTGGACCGTCTAGAGGTCAACAATTTTAATCCGATTTGGGTGAAACTTGAAATGTATGTTTATAACCCAAAGATCTTGGTTCTTTTCGATATTCACACATATCGCATTGTAACTTCCTGTAACTTGTTTGATATCGAAAGAAATGAACTTTTCGATTCTTTACGGATAATCAGCACCATAACCTTAAATATACTTCTTTGGGTTGATTCTAGTTAAAATACTGACATTAACATTTATGTCTTTAATCAAGTACAAAAATATATTAAGTCAACTAAAAGGTTCAATTGATAAGTATGCTTAGTGTAGTTTCAATTTTTTTTTTTTTTTTTTTTTTTTTTTTTTTGCACAACTGTAAAAATGTTGTTGTTTTTTTTGTTTTTTTTGGGGGGTTGTTGTTTATTTAATTTCAAAAGAAGATACTAAATCCCCCAGCGAGATTCTTTGGGCATGTCGAAAAAATTACTTTCATAATCCAAATATTTAAGAATTTCTCAATAATGGGATTTTTAACTATTTATTATAACATTTATATCCTTCGTTTTTGTATGTTCTTATCAATTGTACTATTATAACTATCAATTACAATGTATGTGAAGAGGGTATCGATAAGTTTTCGTAACTTTTGTCCCAATCCGTTTGTACTTTATTTATGTTCTAGTACAATAAACTATGTTTAAAACAAACTTCCTGGATTATGGCCCCTGATTGTACGAAAAAAATCGCGATTTTAGCTTGTGGTCCCTCTAGAGGTCACAATTTTTATCTGATTTTAAAAATCGTTTCAATATATCACCACACCCTGCTGGTGATAATTGGGTTCGAATTTCGTAACAAGCCGACCGAAACTGCCGGACAAAATGTACGCTCCCTGAGCGCAAAAAGTGTAAAACTATGTAATGCAAAGGTTGTAGACCCGCTAGAGATCACCATTTTTGTCCGATTTTGATGAAACTTAAAATGTATGTTTATATCCCAAAGATCTCAGTTCCTGTCGATATTCACGCATATCGGATCGTAACCTCCGGGATTATGGCCACTGATTGTACAAAAAATCCACTTTTTAGCTTTTGGATCCTCTAGAGGTCACAATTTTTATCCGATTTAAAAGAAAACGTTAAAATATAACAGTGTTACAACCTAATGACGGTTGGGTTCGTATTTCATAAAAATCAGACGGAATCTACCCAACAAATAGTGTAAAAGTATGTAATACCAAGGTTGTGGCCCCTCTAGAGGTCAGATGAATTTGATGAAACTTAAAATATATGTTTATAACTCAGAGATTTCGATTCCTTTTGATATTCGCGCATATAGGGCCATAACTTCCTGGATTTATGTCCCCTGATTGTACGAAAAATCGCCCTTTTTTAGCCTGTCCATCTCTTGCAAAATATGGATGTATCTTGCATGACAACCGCGTGTTGTGTCTTGAGTTAGACAGGGTTTAATTGAAAACTATAATGAAAACCGCACACAAAAATACAAATCATTGTCGTTTATTCATAATTAAATCTAAAGCTAACATATTTTAACCCATTTTACGTAGGCATATTGTATTTTAGATTGATGTCGTACGATATTAAAGCGAATGTATCTACGGTGTTAGTACAAGAAACAGCTCAAATATTTTCTGATGTAGTTGTATATAATACAGTACTACAGGATTTAGGTAAGTCAATATTACACACTATTCAATCGGGCTACAGTCGCAACATGTCTTCAATCTGGTTATAGTCCCAACATTCCTTCAACCTGGTTATAGCCACAACATACCTTCAATCTGGTTGTAGTCGCAACATGCCTTCAATCTGGTTATAGCCGTAACATGTTTTCAATCTGGTTATAGCCACAACGTGTCTTCAATCCGGTTTATAACCGCAACATGCCTTAAATCTACAACTCATTATACGCTTTTAAACTTCCTACGGGTCGAGGTTTGCTTTTTAGATTTTGCTATTTAATTCGCTGGGATTAACCTGCTAGTCATGGAACACTATTGAATTTCATAGTCGTAGTCATTTACTGATTGCCCCAGAAATGTTGGAATTACCATACAGATCAGTGGGTTGATTGTTTTCATAGATATTACTGTAAGCTTGCTAGGATATCCATTTTGTCAATATTGGTTTTGTTCAATTATTATAATATATTTCAGTTGATAATGAATGTACTGTTAATTATGGTGATTGTAATTATTTTTGCTTGCCATTACCTAACGGGAAGACTTGTATTACACCTGATGGACAAGTTGATCCTATAGATATAGGTAAGACACAAGATGGCTATAAGAATAAGCTATGTTAGAAACCCTATAAGACACCTGTACAAAATTCAAATACCTATAAAGATTGTACCATATAGCGTCGGGGAAGGTACCAAAACACAATGACAAATGCAAATGGATTCAGTTACTTTGTAGCAAAAATAGTTTTTGTTTTGAAAACGAAACGCGTCAAAAATCACCTCGGCTTATCTCCCTTACATCATAAAGGCTCTAACTTTAAATTCTCACGATATTAAAGGCTAATTGGTGAAATACATGGGAAATATTTTGTACTTTATTATGATAACGAATAACACATTTTAAAGTTGTTATAAGTATGTTGTGTCGGTATTTTCTCTCCAATTTAAAAATATTTTATTTTGTTGTTTCAGAAATAGTCACATTGAAACCAGATCCTACCATTACCCGTAAACCAGAAAGTAAGTAACAAACATACGCACCCTTGTCGCCCCCACCACATGCTACATGCCCGTTATCCCTTTACTGTCAGTCGTTCAAATGGGGCGAACAACTGTGATCTCTTGTAGACCATTGGCATCACCTTAAAGGATGTTTAACAATGAAGGACTTTAAGTGCTCCCAAAAGTTGCAAATCGCTCTGCAAATGGGCATGGCTACCTTCATTAGTCCGGTTGGTGTAGAAAAGTAAGACGTTGAACCACAGTTCGTGACATTTACTGTCATTCACTCCTATAAAGCTCAAAGTACAATATTGGTTGACCGTATGTATATGCGTCAAAACGCTCTGTTAACCAGGTGGACCATCAACAAACCACTGAGATATATATGTGACAGTCAATGTCTACAATCAGGCAATGTGTACAATGCCTGAAATATACCAGTCAATGTGTACATTGCCGGGTTAGGGTTAGGGTAAGGGTTGGGGTGGGGGCTAGGGTTAGGGTTACAAAGGCATTGTACACATTGCCTGATTGTAGACATTGACTGTAACATATATAGCTGTTTCAAACCAACATACGCTTCTTGCTAAGAAGACGGCGTTTCCATCTGATCTTTTTTTGATTATCAATTGCTTAGGGAAATTTTACACGCATGTCAAAATATTCTCAATACGTTAAACACATTTTATTTTTATATTGTAGTTCCACCAACAGAAAAACCCCAAACCCAGAACTCAATTAATGGTAAGTTTTTCATACTGTCAATACTTTAACTTGGACATGACTGTTAACTGTCCAAGTTAATGTTGACTATTTTAATTTGTGTTGGGGATATCAACAAAAATGTTGACTCAAAGTCAGCTTCTGGGAATAATTACTATATCGTTCAGACAATTTTAAGCTAGTTTAAAACGCCGGCGTTTTTAATACAGATTATATCCAACTTGAAACCGCATATCCCCCCCCCCCCCGCCCCGCCATAAATTAGGAATGTACATGCCCAAATGCAAAAAGCTACCTGAAGCCGACAATTATTTTAAGCCAGGTTAGAGAATACAGGTAGCTAACTGGGGTTTTAAAATTGATTTATGTGCTTCACCTTTTTATTCAGATGACGACATAAAGCTGGCTTAATGATAGCCGGCGTTTAAAATCAGCTTATTAAGAATTTGTTATTATCATTCACTTGTGTGTTATTTTGTTTGTTATTTATTTAGGTTGTGTTAGACAAACATCAGAGAAGTTATCAGTTATCTTTATATCCATCAGTATCTACGCGTTGGCCAGTATTTTGTAACCAAGATTTCATAATTTTATATATTTGTTATTATTTTATATCAATCAATATATTTTTCCTAATCGTTTATATTGATGTGGCGCTTTTTAAAAAAAATATCTCATTTGTAATTATGTTAAATTCCCGTCACCTGTATTCTCTGATGTATATTATTTTTATCTTCAAAGAAAGTGTGTGAACAACTTGTAAGCTCAATATATTTGTAAATAAAACAAATCATTTTTTTTCAGATGTGTTGCACCGAGTTTTCGAATACACACTTTAGGTTATATTTTGTAATGATAGCCACAACGTTGAATCATTTAACCATACAAACTATTATAACGCCCCACACTTGAATTTCCATAACCCGAAACTTAAACTAAGCGCACAAGAGTGATTTTTATGGCTATTTGAAGCAACAAAATCACGGCTATATGTATCCACGTACCGGCAATCAATTGCCACTCTTACAGACCCCCCCCCCCCCCTTCACCCGCCCAGCGCAATCTGGAACATTGGGATCCAAAATAGTCGGAAAGGGCATCTACAGCGTTCAATTTGTTCAAAGCCCAGATCCCGGGCTTCACTCTTCGACGCTCACTACAACACTTCAATATGGAGATTTTAAATTTCTTGATGATGTAAAAATCATTCCGACATGTTGCATCCGACGGTTGTATGCATGATGTATTGTTTGTATCTGTAAACGCAGCTTGAGACCCACATCTCCTTCGACTCACGATAGGAATTTCACTACGACGGGTCTTATTCGTAATCTAAGTAAATCCGATAGAGTTCCTTCCTATTATATCCTAGATTATTGTTGTATTACACAAATTTATCAAAATAATATTTACTACAAGACACCCATATAACTGTAATCAGTGCACGAGTTTCTAAAATACGTTTGCAAGAATTTCATTTTCAAATATTTTCTCGTGTTGAAATTAAAAGTGCACGTCTGAAATTAGGGTATATGCACCATGTTGTAATCAACGGGGACAGACACACGATAATTTTCAGTAGTGCATTTGCCAAGATAACTCCAAATAACTGTAAGGACACCTTTAATCGAATGAGGAAGCCATGGTGGCTCAGTGAGTAAGATGTTCGCTCGCTAACCTTGAGGTCCCGTGTTCGATCCTTGTGCTGAGCGAGAAAGTTGATAGAGATTTTCCGGCGTGGTCCCCCCTTGTCAGTAGTACACGACGGAGGGTCTGACAAGGGGCAACATATAGTCGTTTGGATGGGATGGTAAACCGAGGTCCAATGTACACATTGGCGTGCACGTAAAAGAACCCTTGGCAGTTGGAATTCGATATAAGAGTAGGCAGTAGCACCACTGTGTGGGCAAAATGCCCCTCATAGCGCACTGTATGGCCCAGTCGAAGCAGAACAGTACGTAGGACGTTAAACCCCATTTCATTTATCTGTAATCAAATGCGAACAGACAGCATTAAACGTTTACATCCACCAGTTGTTAGCATATTGAAGACATGGGGGGGGGGGGTCTGAATATACTTGGACCCCCCCAAAATTTACATAGTAGGCCCCAACTCCTATTTATTTACAACAATTATTAGGATTAGTTAAGATTCTATCTGTATAAAACAATGTACAAATTAAAACACAAACACTTATGTTTACTTTTTGAAATCCATTTATAATACACAAAATGTACAAAATACTTTAAATATCTATACAACTACCTTGTAAATGTCAATGTGTATATGTATATAGTATTGTAGTTAACAAGGTGATTGTCAAATATGCATCCTCATAAACTAAAGTTATGTGATCAAGTTTGTTTCATTTGAATCCTCTTCATAAAAATTTCCCTTCTAAACTCTCTTTGTCGTGTTGTTCATAACTCGAGCGTAACATTCAATTTGTAAAAGTCATGAAAAAAATATGAATACGGCACCACCTGACTTAAACATGATAAACATTGTATTGGTGTGATGTTTTAGTTTAACCTCGTAAAATATGCCAAAACGGTGTTTACAGAAGACTGAAACTTAAAAAATTTTTTTATGGGGGTGCCCCCACCTCCCAGTGGGAGGGTGACCCTCCCACACTCTCCCTATCGCGCTACATCGGCTGCTGCGCAGCCTCGTGCCTCCGGCGTCACAGATTGTCAACATTTTATATATATTACACGGCTACGCCTCTGATTGAAGTTGAACTTTACACTATATTTAAATTAATTAGATTGTTTTTACGACATTTACAAACACTTATAAAATACTGTCTGTTTAACGCGTACAGTTTCCCATTAACTGGAGTTTCCCCCCTTTGAAACAAAAGATACAAGCCAGACAGGACGCTATATTGTGACCCGTTTTCCGTGAATGAGACAATTTTTTTAAGTTTCACCTTTCAGAAAAGTTGCGATATAGCTGTACATCATGAAATCAGTGTTATATATTTCACCCTTGTTGAATCTCTGTAAACAAGAAAGATTACATTTTTGTGCAGTCAACCTATCCCATCCCTAGTTATTTACATGAGTAACACTGTTTGTATAGCCTATATAATATTTAATCACTGTACAACTAACTGTACATGTACATCGTAAGTTTTTCAGCCAAGCTAACACTAAAAAATAAATGAGAAGCGGTGTCCGGTGCCCTAAAATCGCAAACATAGTCTACCTCTTGCAAGGGCATAGTCGGGATTTTACAATAACGGCGAATCTATAATTCAACATTTTTTGGAGGAGGCCCAATATTTTGTAGGGTGTAAGGGGGTGTTTGCTAGAGTCCCTAAGGAACACATAGCGATAGTTTCTACTTGGAATTCAGAAACCAAAGCTACACTGGCAGTATCATCAGCCAGTAAAAGATGTTCAAATCCTTACACAAACTCCTTGAATTTCAGATAAGTGCAGTGGCGGCGGGAGCCGCGGGTGGTTGGAGGGGCAAAGCTGAGGCAAAGTCCAAGGTTAAGGGGGCAAAGGCACGAGCTTCAACTAGGGGTAGGGGGCTTCCCCCAGAATTTTTTGAAAAACAGGCTGCCGTAAATGCATCCTGGCAGTATTTCAGGCACTGATCGTTGGGATAAAGTGTCAAACGAACGGACTTGCGAACCTCGACGAAACGCACTCACGAGCGCCAAAGTAGGGAGTCCTTCCGGAGGACCTCCCCCAGAAAATTTTGAAAAATAGACTGCCGTCATTCCGTCATTCACCGATCGTCGAGATAAATAGATCTGACCAGAAAATTTTGAAAAATAGACTGCCGGAAATGCTGTCTGACAGTATTCAGTCGGTCACCGATCATCGAGATAAATAGATCTGACCAGATACCGCCCGTCGCCTGATCCCTTGTTTATCCGACCAGAGAAGAAAGTGTCAAACGAACGGACTTGCAAACCTCAACGAAGTCCCCTCGTGAGCGCCAAAGTAGCGAGTCCTTGTTGGGGGGTATTTTGGACCTCCCCAAGAAAATTTTGAAAAATAGACTGTCGGAAATGCTGTCTGACAGTAATCAGGCACCGATTATAGAGATAAATAGAGCTGATCAGATACCGTCTGTCGCCTGATCACTAGTCTATCCGACCCCACAGAGGGCAGACCAGATTAATGGGGGACAAATGCCCCCCTTGCTCCCTCCCCCCTTGGCACCGCCACTGGATAAGTGGTGTTAGATGCTTTACAAAGCGTAAACATGTCCTGCTTGGTGCAATTCATATTGTATCATTACAAAAATACGCGATATCAACGTACTGAAATATGCACAAACTATTTCAGATAAATGAAATTAAATGAAATGGGGTATACGCCATATAGTGTGCTATATGAATGACAACTTGCCCTGACTGCGGCGCTACAACCTCGTCTTATTTCGAATTCCATCTGTCAAGTACACGACGATGTGTACACGGGGCCAGGTTGTTTCGTCCATCTGCCTTGCAATACTGACAAGGGGGAACCACGCCCTTTCTGTGATACTACTATTACATTCAAGTTATCTCTTATTTATTCCTTACAAACAACAACAATAACAATCAACATAAAATACCATGCCAACAAACATCACTCGTTCATGTACATGAAAATAGTGTCCATAATACACTAAGCCAGGTTAAGTCAATCTGAACGACAGACTCACCCTACCTGCCGAGACGGTGGCTAGCTACCATTTAATTTTCGTACGTTAGTTACGTACGGGGCTAAATGAGAGAAACGCAATGACGAGTTTTGCGTCATGGTTTTGAGTTTTTGCGCCCCCTGGCAAATGGCAAAAAATCACGCGGTTTCAATGCGGTTTTCAACATTATAATCACAATCATTATGCTCAACCAGTGTCAAACATATACTGTGGGTCAGATATGCTACAAATCGCATCTAGCATGTTCCACAAAGCCCAAAATTACTCGGTGGCACGGGGAGGGGGGACTGCCACCGCACACACATATAAATACTGTTTTCTGGGGGGCCCAGACGGGATCTTGTTCCTCATGTTAAATCATGGGTCACCACGCCCCTGACTAAGCAACAGATACTGAAACATTAACACCAACTAAATTTATTTGGCTTGCCAATCCTTTAGCCTTGTTCAACTCAATGTTTTACGGAGAACTCTTGTGGTGTCATTCTTCCTATTCCCAATCCTGTTACGGCAACACACGTGACTGAATTATTCAAATTATTAAAGTCTCTGATCGGAATTTGAGGCAATTCTCTGTAAACAATGTTGTGAATGTTGAATCCCTTGAAGAAATATCAGTCCAAATATGTTTCATTTCCCTAACAGCGTGGTATGACGTCATTAAAACAGCTCCAGTAGGACTTGTATGCTAAAATTGATTTTTTTTTTGTTGTTTTGAGTTGATTAGGGACCAAGCGATCCAAAAATGTCGGGGTTCAAATTTTCCGACCCCTTGACGCCTGTGGGAGGGTCATTTTTGAAATCGCCAAAAATGGTTGGATTTTCATGATATGAAGATCATTCTCGTGTTTTTTCATCATGTCGACCCATCTTGGAAGTAGTTTTCACTGACTTCCGGTGGGGAATATCAATTTCCGGTGTCAAACTCGGATTGATTTCAGCCAATAATCTTTGGATTTTCATGATCTGAAATTCATTCTGTTTTTTTTTTCATGGCCTCGGTCAGAGGGATCCTGATTTCAATCATGCCTCTCCCAGAGGGGTCAAGTGGTCGGAAAATTTGAACCCCCTACATTTTTGGATAGCTTGGTTCAACATCAACCCAAAACAAAAAAAAATCAATTTTAGCATA